ACAATGGCACAAGTATTGATCCTTGAGGGACGCCTATAGTTACGTCTAATTTTTCTGACTGAGTACCATTCCATCTAACACACTGTGTCCTATTCGACAAGTACGATTTGAACCAATTAAAAGAGTCTTTGCAAATTCCAAAAGAAAGTAATTTGTGGAGAAGTATATTATGATTCACCGTATCAAATGCTTTGCTAAGATCAACAAATAAAACACCAGTAAGTTTACCACTATCAATATTTTGTAACCATTTTTCAATTATACTATGAAGTGCTGTTTCGCATGAATGCTTAGGTCTAAAACCCGATTGTTTTTCATTGATAAGATTGTTAAGCGTAAGGTATTCATAAAAAGAATTGTGAACATGCCTTTCTAAGACTTTGCTTATGATAGGTAATATCGAAACTGGGCGATAATTATTGAGCAAAAAATTCTCACCAGCTTTATACAATGGTGTAACCCTAGCACTTTTCCACTCATCAACAAAAACACCCGACTTGATTGAACAATTCAAAATATGCGTTAAAATATTTCCTAAGACATGAATACTTTGCTTTAGAATTTTAACAGAAATTTCATCTAAACCAGTAGCTTTTGAGTTAGACATAGAAAGTACTTCGTCGATAACAAAGCTTTCACTAACAAAAGGTATGGAAAATGAACCTTCTGGCATTTGTTGGGGAACCGTGGGTAGGGAGTTGTCGAAATTAGAAGCAAATTTATGTCCGATATTAGAAAAGAAGTCATTGAATTTGTTTGCGATTTCTTGAGGACAAGTAATTATTTCACCATCGACTTCTAAATGAGTTGTTGTGGATTGAGTTCGTTTCGAGGGAAGAAATTCCTTTATACGATCCCACATATTCTTGGGCTTAGCGTGTGCCTGCTCGATTACCTCGTTTACAAATTCGCGTTTCGCTTCGTTGACCTGGATCCCAACTCGGTTTCGTGCCGCTTTGTAAGCTTTCCAATCGGCATCGGATTTAGATTTAAGTGCTCTCCGATGTAGAAAGTCACGTTGTCGCATTTCTGACAATATTGCTTAATATCCAAAGAAAGCATTTCCATGTTGTCGCGTATTTGTACGTTGGATATGGTCCATTTTTCTTTAGCATATACAAGTACACCCCCTCCATGCCGATTTCTGTCTCGCCGAACTAAATTATATCCCTTTATCTGAACTTCAGCGTCGAGGATATTTCCATCTAATTTACTTTCAGTGATTGCAAATATGTCAAATTTACCATTTCGTAACAATATTTTTATTTGATCTAATTTGTTTCGGAGTCCAAAGACGTTTAGATGACCGAATGTGACACCTTTTGGGTTAAAGAGGCTGGGGGTGGCAGCCATTTTCAGACTATTTCGATCTCATTTAAAAGAAGAGCTCCATATAAAGATATACAAAAATGATCAAATTTTAAAACTAAAATGTATGATTTTTTTCTTAGCCAAATGATAGTTGACAGCTTAAGATACCGTAACTGAAAAAAAGTTAAATCTGGTGGTTAATTTGTTGACCCCCCAGTCTCCTTCAGGTTGGTTTTAAGAAGTAGGTCAAACTCCAAGGTCAAGATAAAAGGGTCAAAGTTGTTGGTATCCAATAAAAAGGTCTTCTCTCAAGGATTAGATATGTGAAGTAAAAAAGCCCTAACCCTTAATGTTCAATACCCCGGTACTTATGGCCAAGGTTGAAACATTTTTTTAAGTACAAAAAGGTCTACAGTACGTCAAAGTTGTTGGTATTCAATGACATGTCGATCTTTCCACAGAAAATACTTATGTGAAGTATTAAAGTCCTAGTATTTACCGTTCTGAAGTTAAGGTCAAAGTAAAAGTTTGGATTGTTGTGTAAAATTGTGTCAAACTCAAAAGTAGAAAGGTCAAATTTGGTGGTGCGCAAAGAAATGTTTTGTCACAAGCAATACACAAGTGAAATATGAAAGTCATGATAGCTCCACTAATTCAAAAGTTATTGGCAAAGTTAAAGTTTTTGCGGATCGACAGATAAACGGACGGATATAACAAATACTATACACCCCTAATCTTCGAATACGGGGGCATAAAATGTGGATGGAAACACATTTCTCTTTTGACATCCTAACCCCAACCATAATAGTTTGCTACTCTTTGAGATCATTGAAAATATACAATCATGTGTACATCCTTACCCTCAAAAGGAAAGCTATTCCTCTTCGTTTAACTAAAAAAAATTACAAATGTTATCTTTTATTTAAAATGATTGGCCTTCTTTTGTTTTACTAGTACATGTATATGTATTGACCGAATCTCGTATTTCAAGAGTTGGATACAACAGCTGTTACATAACCAGATTTTTTGATAACTATAATTTCACACACAATATATTTGTATGAAAAAAATAAATCAATAACAAGAGGCCCATGGGCCACATCGCTCACCTGAGTAACTTGGGTGATGCAGTTCGTTACCAGATTTCCCCTCTTGCTATAACTATCGTTCCCCACTACCCTCTTCCCTTTTATGATTTTAATACTTTAGAATCTACACTACCCTAGAATGCTTCGACATAAGTTCAGCTTTCCTGGCTCAGTGGTTCTTGGGAAGAAGATTCTTAAAAGATTTTTCCTACATACAGTGAACATCTATGTAAAACTTGGATTACCTATTGTGGCCCCGCCCTACCCCCGGGGGTCACGATTTTAACAATTTAATATCTACACTATCCAAGGATGCTTCCACATAAGTTTCAGCTTTCTTGGCTCAGTGGTTCTTGAGAAGAAGATTTTTAAAAATTTGATCTCTATATTTCTATGTAAAACTTGGATTCCCTATTGTGGCCCCGCCCTACCCCCGGGGGTCATGATTTTAACAATTTAATATCTACACTATCCAAGGATGCTTCCACATAAGGTTCAGCTTTCTTGGCTCAGTGGTTCTTGAGAAGAAGATTTTTAAAGATTTGTTCTAAATATTTCTATGTAAAACTTGAATTCCCTATTGTGGCCCCGCCCTACCCCCGGGGGTCATGATTTTTACAATTTAATATCAACACTATCCAATAATGCTTCCACATAAGTTTCAGCTTTCCTGGCCCAGTGGTTCTTGAGAAGAAGATTTTTAAAGATTTGTTCTATATATTTCTATGTAAAACTTGGATTCCCTATTGTGGCCCCGCCCTACCCCCCCGGGGTCATGATTTTAACAATTTAATATCTACACTACCCAGGGATGCTTCCACATAAGTTTCAGCTTTTGTGGCCCAGTGGTTCTTGAGAAGAAGATTTTTAAAGATTTGTTCTATATATTTCTATGTAAAACTTGGATTCCCTATTGTGGCCCCACCCTACCCCCGGGGGTCATGATTTTAACAATTTAATATCTACACTACCCAGGGATGCTTCCATATAAGTTTCAGCTTTCCTGACCCAGTGGTTCTTGAGAAGATTTTTTAATGACCCCACCCTATTTTTGTCTTTTCTTGATTATCTCCCCTTGCAAGGGAACTTGGCCCTTTATTTTCACAATTTAAACTCCCCTTCACCCAAGGATGCTTTGTACCAAGTTTTGTTAAAATTGGCCCATTGGTTCTTGAGAAGAAGTCGAAAATGTGAAAAGTTTGCAGACGGACGACGGACAAAATGTGATCAGAAAAGCTCACTTGAGCCTTCGGCTCAGGTGAGCTAAAAAAAGTATATCAGTTTCATTTGCACTATTGTGGAACATTTAAGATACCTGCTCCCAAGCTAAAGATGCCTTAAATTCTTTTCAAGCTCATTACAAAATAACTTCAAACGAGACTGCCAATATTTTTGTTTCATCAACTTAACTGTCAATAACCTACCTTGTTTTAGAAATTGTTCATACTCAGAGCATGCCCTTGCGTATCAAATAACTGAGAGATATTATAAAGTCTGTATGCAGTCGATGAAGGCATGTTGCTGCATATGCAAGGGAAGTTGACGATGGAAAAGGTGAATTAATTAATCGAATTAATTCAGCATTTTTATCCTCAAGTTTGGTTGTTAGATTACAAGTAACATTCTTTTCATGTTAAATATCCAAATATGAAACAGATCGATGTATCAGACTCTGTGATATCTTTATTTCAAGTTCACAGGAATACATATTGTTTATTAAATATACGTCATCATCACATCTATATGTCGAGTTGAAGCCACACCAATGTTTTCTTCTTTTCATGTATTAGAATTTTGACTATTTCTTCTTCATATGAATTCAAAAATAGGTCTGCTAATAACAGGGCGCAATTGGTACCCATGGGGATTCTAATAGATTGTTGGAAGACCTGGCTCCAAAATCGAGTACAGATATTGTCGGTCAGTAAGTCGAGCATCATTTTTAAAAATATTAACTTCAGAGTAATTGTATGTACAATCAAAACCTTTTTAACAAAATCATTTTGGAAATGACCAATTACAAGTTAATTAAATTTACGAGTTCCATTTTTATCAATAAAACAGCTGTCAATGATATCAAGAAGCCTGGACTTCAATATATCACGGGAATGGTTGTATATGAAGTTGAAAAGTCGCAAGTTTTTAAGTTGTTGATCTTGGTAAATTTTTGTGATTTCAAATTTTCCAAAAAGTTCTTTGGAATTTTTAAGTATCTAAATCTGATTTACTCCACTTCTTAAATACATTGTTGCTCAGCTCACCTGAAGTTTCACCTTCACTACACTAAATTTCTAGGGGATCATTTTTCTTCATGTGGGGTATGCAAATTTTTAGGGTGATGAAACTTCTACAGTCATTATTTTATAAGGGGGTCATAATTAGTCTTTGCAACCAGTACACACTACACAATTTGCAATTCATTCATTTTTGAAAAAAAAACAGAAGATAAAGTTTTTTTGGTTGTAACATTTATATATCAATCTTATACTTTACTTTAAATGTAATTATTCTCTTTAAAAAAAAAAATAGGTTGTATTTTAAAACATCTTTTGTTTTTAATATACATGTAGTATTATTTTACTTTAAAGAATATGATTGAGCATAGTCCATGATTAATTAATTTATCCAAATGGGATATAATGTCAAAAATTAAATCAAGGAAACTTCATCTTCGTCACTAGAATTGCCCATGCTTGGATTAATGGTTGAGAAGGAACTGTCGAGAAATGGTTTACTATTAGGTTTTCTAGGTGTACTCTGAAGAACACAAACACCTGAAGACCTTGGTTGGGTTTTGGATCTTTGTCTTATATCTTGGGTCCAAGGTTCATTTCTATCCTTGCAACTGTCCTTTTTCTCTGAAGATCTCTGAAAAAATCTACTGTAAGAGTTTTGGTTCTCTTCTGGAAACAAGCTGCATTTGGGTTTCCACTCCCTCACTGATTGGAGTTTGCAGGAACTGGACTGCTGAAACTCTTGTGTAGCTGGTGGACACACCTGTCTAGACACCTGAAACTCTTGTGTAGCTGGTGGACATACCTGTCTGGACATCTGGAACTCTTGTGTAGATGGTGGACACACCTGTCTAGACACCTGAAACTCTTGTGTAGATGGAGCAAACATCTGTCTAGACTTCTGTAACTCTTGTGTAGATGGCTCATTCACTTCATGAGATGGCTGAGGCCCTTGTCTGGGTGACTTTAATACATGTACTTCTCTAGGTAAAACAGGAGCTGGTTGACACAGCGAAGGCTTGTGTTTAGATGACAAATGTACTTTTCTACCTGGCTGAGGCCTTTGTCTTGATTTCTTAGGCTCCTGTTCATGGTATTTTGGTCTAGTATTTTCATGTCTCCAGTCTTCTTTTTGCATGCTGGGCATACCAGCTTCCATTTTATCTTGCTGGTATCCCCTATAGGAACAAACCCCCAACACATTCTCTGAAATTGAATGGTGAATGATCTTTTTCTCTCTAGGTTGGTTATAACGCTTAACTAAGCAGTTCGATGCAGATCCTCTTCTGTGTTGTACCAAACTGTCACAAGAACTTGATCTTACATGTTCCCTCATACCAATCAGATCCTCCCTGACATATCCTTCTGTTCCACCACTCTTCTGAATACTCCTTTTGGTTGATGGAGATTTTTGATAAGGAAAGGCATTTGGGACCTTGAAGACTGGTGGAACACTTTGACTTGAGTGGTAACAAGAACTATTAGCCGTGTTGAAACTTTGCTGAAAGTTGTGAGAGGTCCTTGGTGATGATCTAGGCGATGACAGATGAAGCCTGGCAAGTGAAGAAGATGGTGAATTACTAACATCAGTGTGTGCTCTGCCATTTTGTGGAGAGGATGGGTAACTCTGAGCTCTTGGAGATTGAAAGCCTCTAGAATGAGCTCTTGGTGATGAAAAGAATGAAGAATGAGATCCTGGTGAAGAAGGATAAGCTGATATATCAGTGGATGTTTGATCCCCTGGAAATGGTAAGGTGGAGGACGATCTCTCCGGAGATAAAGAACAGACAAATGTTTGTGAAGCAACACCTAGACCTCTCTCATCAGACAAATCACTGTTCTCATTCAATTCATGTTCATGACTATATCCCAGTTGGTGACAAAATTTGAAATCATTAACATTCATACAGTTTGCACATGAACACATGGCTTTTTTTCCACATGAACAATTGATGTCATAACATAGTGCAGAGTTTCCTTCTAAACTTAGTTCAGATTTGTTTTCCTGGTCATTTATCTTCTGATCAAAATGTGACAATTCTTCCTCAGCAATTCTCTGTTTTCTTTCATTTTCTGCTATAGTGAAAGATGGCCCATTTGAACTGGCATGAATTGGATGTATAACAAGTTTTCTTTTAGCCTTTACTTGGTACTTGTCCTCAGTCTCTTTTGAAGGCATCATCCACTTTGTAACTTTTTCTATTGAGGACATTGGCTGGTTGTTAAGCTGTGACGTTCCGTCTTTAAGTAACTGTATTTTGGAACATTCCGATATTCCATTTTTGATAAAAGTTTGGGACACATCACTCAACGATTCAAAATCGTCCAAACACAAGGAGTTCCTTCTTTTTGAATATTCTGTTTGTACAACCATTTTATGACTTCTAAAAACTCTCTCTTGGCCTCTCTTTGCACTGCTACTTCTTTTGTGCAGATCAAAGGAGTTATTATCAATGTTTGCTTTGCCCCTCTTCATCTCCTTACCCTGAGTAAAAATATTTTCATTTCTTTGATGCAACTGTGCATTAGAATCTTTCTCTGGACTATAACCACTTCCACTGCTATAAATTAGTTCTTTCTTTTCACCATGGACTCTTTCAGATTCCGATCTTCCTTGAAGTGCTGTTTGTGTATCACCTCTCTCGTGTCTTCTCTCCGACTTCATCATGTCTCCTCCTCCACACATCTGGTACAAGTTATGGATCTGATGTCTGTAATCGGGTCTTTTTACTGAGACTAACTCCTTGTCCCCAGACATTAGGTGGTGCCTGACATGTCTGTAGCTGATCTGAGGCTCAGGACAGCGGTACTGCTTGTGGATTCGGCTTCTATCGTACATACAGGAAGGAAACTCTGAACTGTGGTAACCAGAGCTGTCCTCGGAGGAGGCAAAGTAGGACTCCATTCTAGGGCTTTTATGTAGGTTGTTGTGATGAACCTTCTTTGTCTCTCTTGACTTGTATAACTAAGAAACAAAAGAAAAAAATGTTTTTAACTTATTATAATTTGAGCTTTTTTTCTTCAAAAGTTTCAATGTCTTTCATCAGCATAATTTCATATTACTTCTGAGTATTCTAAGAAACTTAAAGCATAAAATTATATCTTTATTAGAACTATCCAAATTTCCCTTACTTCCTCTGAATAATATCCAGAGGAGCTTAAATGTTTAGACATTTCCCTACCTGATCATCCTCTGAATATCCTGAGGAACTTGAGGCTTCAGACATGTCCTCATCAGAACTATCCTCATTCCTCTTACCTTATCATCCTCTGAGTATCCAGGGGAACTTGAGGCTTCAGACACATCCTCATCAGAACTATCCTCACTCCTCTTACCTTATTATTATCTGAGTATCCTGAGGAGCTTGAGGCATTAGACATATCCTCATCAGAACTATCCTTATTGTCCTCACCTTATCATTCTCTGAATATACTGAGAAGCTTGAAGTTTCAGACATATCCTCATCAGAACTATCCTTATTGTCCTTACCTTATCATCCTCTGAGTATCCAGAGGAGCTTGAGGCTTCAGACATGTCCTCATCAGAATGATCCTCATTTCTCTTACCTTATCATTATCTGAGTATCCAGAGGAACTTGAGGCTTCAGAAATGTCCTCATTAGAACTATCCCCATTGCCCTTACCTTATCATCTTCTGAGTATCCTGAGGAGCTTGAGGCTTCAGACATGTCTGCAGAACTATCTTCACTCTCCGATGTTGTTATCAAAGTTTCCGCATCACTGATGTCTTCCTCCAGATCAGGTCCTAACTGAGACAGTACATCCTTGTACGTCTCTATGAAAGCAGAAAAAAGATAATGAAACAATTTGAAGATTCATGATACCTTATATCAGTTTTTAATTGCTGGAACTTTGCTTTTGCATAACTTAGTGTCACTGTTGTTTTGAAAATTTTATTCTCATGTATATAAGAATTATAAAAGATTTTACATTGCAACTATCAAAATTTAAAAATTAAATGTTCTCGCAAAAATAAGGTGTCTAAAAAAAAATAAGGGATCAAAAGCATTGTAAATGCATTTCGTTAAAATTGATTCCAGTCTTAACATATTGAACCTGAAAGATAAAGAGGCCAGCGAGCATAGTGCTCACCATCTTCCTGCATCAAGAATTTCTGATCCGCTCTGCTCCAAATAAACCTTTGATCGAATAGACCAAGTTTGACGGGGTTAGAAATGCGCTCTCTGATTGGCCTAATGCAAGTTTGCATGAACCTATCAAAATCATTGTTTTATTTAACCTTAAACTAAATCGTAAACAGAAAAACACGCCAGTTTTAGTCCCAAGGATAACGTTTTTATCATTAAATAGCCCAGTTAGAGGTTTGTCTCAGCTTTTTAGTTGAGTTACATTGAATTTATTTAATACCAACTTCCAATATTATCTCTTATTCTCTGTTGAATTTGTTTACTCTGATTGGCCAGTAGAGTTCAAAATGTGTAATCTCACTGGACGGTGTGACAATAAACCCTGACAAACTTGGTCTATTCGGTCAAGGGTTTATGTGGTGTGGAGCGGATCAGACACTTATGATGCGGTAAGATGAGTGCTCACCAGATTCAGGTTTTCTTCCATTATTCATGTTATTAAATCTCTTCATATTATGCCAACAATTCAAGTTGCCATACCATTAAGACTCTGTATCCTGGAAATGTCATCAGGATAAGGGTCCGCCTCCATACGATCCTCCCCCAGGATCTGCTGGGATTCCATACTGTCAGGCTCATCATAAGACAAAGGAGACAACAAGTTCCCATGGGAATCCCAGGGATCCTCTGGCTTGGATACGACATATGTACCATGGGGATCTGGCCTCTGGAAATAATACAAGTGGACATGAACGTGACACAACTTTGACATTAGCTTAAAAACTATAAACTCAAATCTTTAGGTTTAACAATATCTTCTATGAGAAATGTGAAGAATTTGAAATTACAGCGGTCTACTGCCTCACTTTGAATATTAAAGGTGCTTGGACACAGATTTTAAGTTAATATTTTTTCAAATTTTCTGTATAATGTCATGACTTATATGTTCATATTGCATTTCAGACCGAAATACACAACAAAATTTCTACTTTTGTTAATTACAATTAAGGATGACATTTGCTTGAAGAAACGAAGATGTGCCAATCAAATACACTTTGGAATTTGTAGTTTCAATTATTTCCATATAAAATAAATATTTTATTATTTTTTTGTGTGAAATGCTATATAAACATATAATTAATGATATTTTATAAAAAAATTTATACTGTGTACAAACAAGTACCCGTATTCCATTCATTCGATGCATGAATGTCACTGCATTGATTACAGACACATTTTTTACCAAATCAGATTGACTATATAGGCTGGAATTAAATGTTGCTCACTTGTGGTTGAAATGATTCTTTCTCTTGATTCTGCCTGTGACTTATGGAGTTTATTCGTCTGTGTGCTGAAATAAAACAATGACATATCCTAAATCATCAATATACACATAGTATATAGGACTTTTAATCTAGAGAAATGATAGGAACCTGCAGATGTTTTCTATCATGACCTTGAATTTTGATTATGTAAGCCTTTACACTGTAAAGCAGAAAATTTTGTTGGGGATTAAATTTTGTTTATTTCATTGTAACAATTATCTACGAAATTAAATCCCATGAGAAATTTTCATATGAATATATATTGAATATGGTTACTTATGAAATGACAAAATTAAATGCCCACATAACCATTTTAGACAACAAATTTGATCCAAACAAAATATTTTGTTTCTATAGTTTTTTTTTAAAAAAAATTATTCACTGTCGGTATGCTGAAGCAGAACATGAAGTCCCCATTCAGCTACAGTATATGTATAAAGTCTTTTACAGATCAGTAATTTCTGATTCTGTTATGGGCATGGAGTCTTCAAACCAGGAATTAAAATTAAACACGCATGACTTGAAAAAAGATTTGAAAACCATATCTGACTTCTCGGGATTGTCCTCCTCTAGTCCTGTCTCCTGATATATGTATTGCAATACTTTCAATGAAAATTAAATGGTGTTTTCTTACTATATATCATCTTTCTTTTATATGAAAAAATACATATCTATAATAAATAACCACAGAGATTCATTTTAAAAATGGTCATCATAGGTCTAGAGGACCTCTCTTAATCAAATATTGATCCCAAGCCAAAAACAATGAGTCCAAATTTTATTCCACAGAAATATGCAGTGAACCATTTTTTCTGGAACATAGGAATCTTCTGAGTTTTTTCACTTTCTTTATCACCACTTTCAGTTAATGCAGTTCCTAAATAAGCGTTCGTTTCATTGTGAACACCCTTGTTCTTATTAATCATTGGCGTCAGAAGCAAATTGAAAGGGAGGGCTAAGTGTAAGAGAAATTTTGACCTACAAAATAACTTGACAAACGGAAAATAGGTCCAATGTTCAAACAAAATTTTTTTCCCGAACACTACTACTTAACCTTTTTTGACCTGTACTGCAACGTGTCTGTGGAAAGGGGGGGGGGGGGGGCTAAACCTATGCTGCAATGTTCATTGCCTGTACTATGTCGACGAACGAGAGTTTAGCTTTTGTAGTGTTTTTTTTTTTAAATTTGGATCATTTCAGGTGTCTAGTTTGTATATTTGACGTTCTGGAATTTCTTTTCAAGTGCCTTTTGGGATGCACATACATGTATAATGAAATCCTGTGTCCTGACCAAAATTTTACGTATTTTACGCCGGACGCACGTCAAAATGAATCACTGTAACCAAATATAGTGTTAGCACAAAGACAAATTAATCTGTACCAGAAAACAGCTTTTGTTGACTGAATTAGTTATGCAACGAACTACACCCATTCAACAGTTTTTGTCTTGCTCTTTGGGCTTTGGCATGATTGTAAATGTTTGATTTTTTTCTTTATACATATAATTTTATAATAGAATTCATGAGTCTAATCATTTTACTGGTGTGCTAGCATTACATAAATGTACTGCAATACAATATCATTTGTCATACATCATATTACACTGAAATATTATATATTTTCCCCAGCCCTACCATTATACTTGCTAAAGATTTCTAATCCTAAATCAAAGGCAGATTTTGGATTGGAAATCCTGGTTAGCATAGACAAAGAAAGACAAGATTTAGATTTTCTGTAATGTACGCAAGCAAGACTTTTAACAAACCATATTCTTTTGTACACAGATCTCCCTCTCTCGGTGTGCTCTTGAGTTTGCTGTGTCCAAAGCCTTTTGTTTTTTTATGAATCAGCTGACCTACAGAAAATTATATGAAAAAATTACTATATTTAATTATTCATCCACACCTCAATAGATGATAGTAGAATAGATGGTACTTAATCAAATTTTAAGAATCAAACATGTTTTTGTAAACTGTAATACATATATACCCTCCTCCCTAATTACAGTACTTCACTTTTTTTTCAGGCAATAACTATTAACTATGATAACAAAATGAAAAGTTTAGCACTTTTTTTTTTAGCTAGGGTCATTTTTTTTTTAAAACTTCATGTAAGAGCTTGTTCAAAACATCTCTCTTTCTCTCTCTCTCCCTATATATATATATATATATATACATAAATAGTATCACAGAATTTCTTGACGGACAAAAGAAACGATGATGAGATAGTACATGTACGTATGTAATGGTTGTACTTGGTAACTTACTTCGTCCTCTGTGTACTGACAGATCACACAAGTCTACTTCTGTGTCGTCATCATCACCACAATTTTCATACTGAAATCAAACAAAATACCGGTAATAAAATAAATTATAATTCTCTTATTCAAGCATTTATCTTTTATGCATGCAAATTAACTGTTAATTAGCTGTTAAAGATTTCTCATATTAAAAAAACTATGTTACTAAGTTTTCTCTACATATTTTATGCACACAGAAAATCACAAAATATACATATTATCACAAAGAGAGAAAGGGTTTTTTTTTTTTTTTTTTTTTTTTTTTTTTTTTTTTTTTTTTTTTTTAACATGTCCTCCAATAATTTAAAAAGTCCCAGGCATCAGACTTGCATTTAGAAATTTCAAATTTCAAAGCCTATTCCAAGAAATCAATAATCTCATGGGGGAGGGGGTAGCAATGCTGTTGTATTGAATTTAATATTTCATCAAAGCAATATGAGCTGCAACTTTGAAGTCAGATTTTTTTGTTGCAGAATTGTAAATAACTATTTAAATGACAGAAAAAAAAGTTAATAAACTTCTGTTGTTCATATTTCATATTTGCGATGAAAGAACTATTTTTGGTGTGTTCCCGTTTTGCACACATTTGGTAATTAGTATAGAACAATAGGTGTGAAGTTTGTTTTGATAGCAATTATAGTCTGATTTCTGGTTTGGATTTACATGGATTTATCTGTGAATACCTGATTTAGCTTAATGTATTCTTAAGAGGTTTAATACAATTTTATAAGCATTTTATTAAAATTCTGTATTCTTGATTTTATTGAATAAATTATTAATATTTGTTTAATATTATTTATTATTAAGTCCAATTTCTTTAAGAAAGAATATGTACTTTTCAATCTTGATAAAATTCTAAATGAATTAAAGATATAACATATAATAAAGAAAATAGTGAATAAGAGGTAATTTGAAAATACTGCTCAAGCCAAGAGGATGTTATAATAGGATCATCAGATAATCAAATACATTAACTTTGTATTTATTCTCTTTTTTTTTTACTATAAGTTCACCTTCAATCTAATTAAAATTAGACCTTTCATCTCGCTCTTCGTTTTTGATGTGTCGCTTTGTGAAAGGAGCGAGATGAAAACGAAAACGAAGAGCGAGATGAAAGGTCAAATTTTAATTAGATTGGTTCACCTTTCACATACTTAGTAAGCTAAGTATGGTATAGACTATAGCAATCAAGTAATTATCTCACCTGGTCAAATTCCCGTTTTTCACACATTTTTTAATTACCTGTAATTCAAATGTGTGGAAAATGGGAACAAACCCTATTTTTAAGCTTCGATTGAATCAAAATTACAATACTGCCATCCTTTACAATTATAAAACTGCATGTTATGCCTTTAAAAATTTGTTCCTATACAATTCAATACACGGAAAAAAGTCTAACATTTCTAATGTTTTGCTGGGCGGGCAAGCCGGGCATAAAAAATGGATGTTTGACCACTGAGTGAGATGTTGAATCAGTTGGTGAGATGTGCATGTTGCACTACGTGCCGTTTCACATTTCAAGTTTTTTGGTTTTTCTAAAATGAGTATATAAATGCTGAATAGAAAAAAAAACTTGGCATTGCCTAAATGTGACTGGCACCAGGTCCCCATGACTTAGATCCTGAATCTTTAGACTATAGAATTCTTTCTGTGACTCTTGTTTTGTAAATTACTTTTCTACCAATGCTTTTAGTTGATACATGGGATCTATCTAAAGATGTGAATTTTATTTATTGAAAGTTCAAACACTGCCACCCTGGTGTCAATACATGCAAATTTGTTTATACACTGCAAAATTTAAGCATATTGAGCAGTCAGGTTTATGCTTATTTCTCAGTTGAAATACTAGCACAAAGTTTCATTAGGCCAATCTGCCCCACTTTTCAAAGTTACTATAGTATATCATCATGATCATATGATTCAAATGTAGCTAGAGTAGTCGGTATTTCAAGACATATTCATTTGACTTTTTACAAATTAATAATTTCTTTTTATGCTGCCCTTTCATGTCAATATTAAATGTATATATAGTCATAGTAATCAGAGATTACAGAGCATATTTTAATTAATGTTTTCTTTAACTTAAACTTTAAGTAAGGCCTACACTAGCTGCAGAACTGTAGCTCTCTGCTTGAGATAATTCATATAGATCAAGCAAGAGCTACCGATTCAAGCCTAATAAAAACTTTTATAGGCGACAGTTTTTTGATCACTCACTTTGGGTATTATATTTTGTATCTTATGCATTTCCCTGCTTTAGAAATGGTTTTCAATAAAATTGTTATCTTACGCTTATTTTGAGCAAGTGTAAAATATGTTCTTTGAAAGATATTTTACACACAATCTCCAATGTGGGCATTAGAATGGAAATTTTGTAAACCGACATTCCAAATACATAAAGGGCTGTTGGGACTGTTAAAAGGTAAAGTACAGGTGACTCTCAATCTCTCGAAGTTCAATGGACCGCAAGAAAAGTTCGAGAGATCGAGGGGTTCGAGAGATAGAAAGTAAATAAAATCTGGATTTTTCAGTTCTGATCATCGATGTTCTACTATTATAGGTACTGGAAGTAATTGTCGGTTTTGCTACTCCAGGTCTTGATCAGGTCCTTCACCAGTGTTCACCACTGACACCAGATTTTTCTTAATAGGTATTCGGTCCTTGAGAACTGAATTTCTTGTGCAATATTTGCTTTTTTGGGATTATGTAGACCCTAATAAAAGTTTATAGTCTATGGGAACTTATTGAAATGAACGTCTATAGATTATTTTCTAAAAATTATCGCTTCGGATTCAAGTCCAAAAAAGTTGTGAATTTGTTTATAATTTACCTATAATAACCAATTAATTTTATCAACACATGGATGACCCACAGGTGTAGTGTCATCTATGTAAACATCCAATTAACACCTCCATGCTAGCCCCAGGCGTTCACTGTTTTCCAGGTAAGTCCAGGCTGCATCAATTTTACGCTTGATTGGCGTGTATACACGCGCAATTAAAACTTTGAGAGATAGAGAGTAAATTTCAATGAATTATGTGTAATAGGACCCATGTTTTGGTTCGAGAGATAGAGTCAGTTTTGAGAGATAGAAGTTCAAGAGATCAGGAGTAAATTTGCTTAGTTATATAGAGGACAAAATGGGACCGGAGGTTCACTTCGAGAGATCAAGAACTTCGAGAGATCGGAGTTCGAGCCATGGAGAGGCACCTGTATCTAGAACAGTTGTGAAATACATGTTTATAATTATGGAATATCATTAGCTTGGATCTGTAACTCTTTGCCTTATTTGTCCGAATTTTCTTACGCATAGCTAGTACAGTCCTGCAGTTAGGCCTACACTTATGCATAGCTCATGGCTTGCTCAATCTAGTGATTTCTATCAACTTTTAATGATAAAATATGAACTCCTGTAGTTGGGCTAATTTTGTTGAGATTCGTCTCTGCTAAATATTTGGTCTAACATGTCTAATACAAGATTTGTGCAATTTAAATCTGACAAGGCTTGCATTTACTTGGGAATAGACTTATCAAATCAAAAAAACTACAAATAACTCACTAATCGGATTCGGACATCCACAAAATCTAGCATCTAAGGTGAGTAATGCTAGCACTTACTGACTTATAGTCCGAAATATCCCTGATGTTTTCCATTTTTTTTTAAAACGACTTTGATAATCTGCATGCCAGGAAACCATCTAAACCAGCAGCACTGCATAAACTGGAAATTTGCTGCATCCAACCTGAGGCAACATTAGGCCATTCCAAGTTTTTTCTCTGTTTAGCGTCCACCCATCTTTCAAAAACTTACCTACCTAATCGCAAAACACACAAGCCAAAACATAAAACACAGGCTTAAAAGTAAACCAGAAGTCTCTGTCGAGACTGAAGCTCTACTGGTTTGTACTTATAGCAAAAGAAGAGGAAAGTACTTAGGCAGTTGGGAATTGAAACTTTTCAACAGCAATTAATAGAAAAATGATCCTTGATTTAGTCTCTTTATGTTTTAGTGTAGTCTACTTGCATGCCTCATTACATTATAATCAGACTAAAACTGTATTTGGAGTAGCATTTTGAGTGTATTAAGGATATCCGATCCTCAGTCAGGAAGGATAACTCCAAAAATTTATAATTAATTTGAAATGCATAAAAATGAGGCTTGAAAGTGAATTTTTTTATGCAACAGTTTTCATTGTATTCATTTTTATAAGATTTAAGGTCTTTGGATGTCTTATTTAAAGATCTAATAAAAGTTGACATTTGTACCCTAACAAAGGAGAAAGAAATAATACAGTTTTAGAGAATTCAAATTAGATTTTCTTGAATCCAGCCTTAGATACCAATGCTTATTAGCATGATATGAAATGAGAAGTAATGTGTGGTGTCTTGCAATGATAGTACAAACCTTTTACACTATGCATTATAGAATATATGACGGAAAAAGAAGACAAAAAATACCAAATAAGTATAAAATTCATGAAAATTTCTCTAAATGCCTGGATACCTGTTGTATATATTTGTTGATCAATTTGCAATTAGAAAATGCATTGCCGATGTTCTAATTTGCTTTTTCTGCAAAAATATTGGAGAATTGACAATTTTCCCTTAATAATATGATTAAATTTAATCTTTAATTTTAAAGAAATACTGTGGATAAATTAACATAACTTTGTGGATTCAGAGATACTTTTATGAGTATTTTTGAGTACTTAACTGCTAATTTTATGAATATGAGGATCGGACTACCTTAAACAGAAATTTCTATTTTTAGTAACCGTGGCAACACCGTTCATTGAAGTGAAAAACTATACACAGAATTATGTACCTTAGTGTAGTCTACTTGTGTACCAAGTTATATTGAAATCAGACCAAAACTGTAGGAGGTGTAGCATTTTGAAATAATTTCACAGAAATTTCTATTTTTAGTAACCATGGCAACACCGTTCATCGAAATCAAAAACCGATATACAGAATTATGTATCTTAGTGTAGTCTACTTGTGTGCCAAGTTACATTGAAATCAGACCAAAACTGTAGGAGGTGTAGCATTTTGAAATAATTTCACAGAAATTTCTATTTTTAGTAACCACGGCAACACCGTTCATCGAAATCAAAAACCGATATACAGAATTATGTATCTTAGTGTAGTCTACTTGTGTGCCAAGTTACATTGAAATCAGACCAAAACTGTAGGAGGAGTAGCATTTTGAAAGAATTTCACAGAAATTTCTATTTTTAGAAGCACGTCAACACAGTTCATCGAAATCAAAAACTGATAAATAGATTTATGTACCTTAGTGTGTTCTACTTGTGTGTCAAGTTATATTGATATCAGACCAAAACTGTAGGAGGAGTAGCATTTTGAAAGAATTTCACAGAAATTTCTATTTTTAGTAACCACGGCAATACCATTCATTCAAATCAAAAACCGATACACAGAATTATGTATCTTAGTGTAGTCTACTTGTGTGCCAAGTTATATTGAAATCAGACCAAAACTGTAGGAGGAGTAGCATTTTGAAAGAATTTCACAGAAATTTCTATTTTTAGTAACCACGGCAACACCGTTCATCGAAATCAAAAACCGATATACAGAATTATGTATCTTAGTGTAGTCTACTTGTGTGCCAAGTTACATTGAAATCAGACCAAAACTGTAGGAGGTGTAGCATTTTGAAATAATTTCACAGAAATTTCTATTTTTAGTAACCACGGCAACACCGTTCATCGAAATCAAAAACCGGTATACAGAATTATGTATCTTAGTGTAGTCTACTTGTGTGCCAAGTTATATTGAAATCAGACCAAAACTGTAGGAGGAGTAGCATTTTGAAAAATTGTTTACAGACGGACAGACAGACAGACGGACAGACGGACGGACGACGGACGCATTACTATCGCATAAGCTCTTCTGGTCTCTGACCAGTAGAGCTAAAAAAATGACGCCCTTCAAATGATTTGATCTAACTAAACTGCTTTTAGTTTAATAGAAGAAATATCTATTCTTAAGCAAAAACAAGGGATTAAATGCTTAAAATACACCCAATATAACTTACTGTGCAGAATTATTTGGAGAAATTGACAAAATACAAAAATTTCGACTAAATTAATCAATTTCAGGACTCCTGATGTTGTGTATTTTTTCTTATATGGGGTGTCAAAATCAAAGGCGCACGTGGGACACTAAACAGAAAAAACTTGGAATGACCTTACCTGGCTAAGGCTGATTTTCGATACTTCATTGCGAACCAAATTAAATGTCAAACTCAAAAGATATGAATAGTATAAGACTTTTAGTACTTACCAAAATTGTTTTTATGGTTCATTTATAGCGAGCACAGCGAGCGTCGCAAAGCGACGCGAGATCAATAGACTAACATGTAAGAACAGAGGAAATTCGGAATGAAATCTATACATAAGTCAGGCAAATTTTTCTGTGAAACATTCCCAGAATTCCTTTCCTACCCAATGTTCTTTGCGCAAATAAATAAATAATAACGTAAAGCATTTCTATAAAAGGCTTTCAGTTTGTAGAAATCTTTCAAAGAAACCAAAAATAACTCTGCAATGTTTTTCGATAAAAATTACACTAGGTCTATATAGTTTTAACCAGACGCTCGGCTGTCTCAATAAGCTCCAACGAGCTCTGTGACATTATGTGATGTCACAGCTAGTCGAAATTTCTCTTGCTGCTTGATGTTTGAAGAGGCTGATCATTTTTTTTTCAAGTGTTTTGATGGTATGACTGCGCTGGCCCTAACGGCCACACCGTGAAACATATTAATATATACAATATGATGAAAACATTTCATCACACTGTCAAGATTTGTTTTCATTTTGTGCATTTTAAAAGATTATTAAGTAATTAAGTCCTGAATAGAAATGTGGAGTGATGACTGATGTTTTTTTTCATGGATATTAATCATTAATTGTGCATTGTGCTATTGACAAATTCTGACTTAGGCATTTAGTTTGGTTCGCAATTATCGAAAATCAACTCTGGTTGGAGACTAGTTAAAATAATCTGTGTCTCAGAACAAGCCCTCACCACAGCATTAAAACAGGTCCATAGGACATTTATCATTTAACAATAGAACATTCCATAGGCGTCGGAACAGGATGGGGGGGGGGGGCTTAGCCCCCTCCCCCCTTTTATTGCAAACATAGGCTTGGCATAATGACTAGGCATTGAAAACTGGGGCTTTTTTCCCATGGTTTAGCCCCCCCCCCTTCAATTTGCTTCCGACGCCTATGGTTCTACCTAGTTGGAAACGGACAAATTACAAGTTTTCGTAATGGCGACAGTTCACTTCTGGAGTTTTTCTTGCACGTAAAATATCAAAACCACCCGTAAAAAAAGCCAAGAGGCAATCGGACTATAACTGGCATAACAGAAAACTAAAAAATATGAACGAAATGGTTACAATATAATTGTTTAAATAACCTTATCAAAGATATGTTGAAGATTGGATTGATATCTTCGCAATCTAGTCTCAGGATCTGTGGAAATATATCCTCGGTCCCTTCTCCCTTTTAAAGGCCCCGCCATTTTCCTTCCCTTGTTGACACGACATTGTTTTCTGAATCTCGCGCCCGACTTTAATTGTTGAACAGATTCCAGATTCATGATTTGCTTCGTGCTTTCTTTGCAAGTTTAACTTGCAATATATATAGAGTCAGATCGATGTTTTTTAGCATATGAGTGAAGAAAGAATACTTTCTTGGGTATTTGTATTGACATGATGGCGAAAAGAAAGTTGACAGCAGGAATTCCAATGCTGAAGCGTTATTTTTAGAGTAAGAAAACGTCATTATATAATAATTGGTCTAGTTCAATTCTATTCATTTGTGAAATTTTTTGATGAGTTAGCAAATAAAGTAGTGAATTTCGACATGGGACATAAAGCTAGTAAATATGTTGGTAAGCCTAATATTTTCGGGAATCAGTGAGTGATTTTTACCATTAGTTACTAAATAGTAAATCGCCTATATTTGAACATGTAAAATAGGTGTTGTCACTATGAATAAGTGTATCATGTGTATGGCAGTAAATACACATAAAAAAGTGGCTTTAACTTTTACATGTATTTCATGTTATATAATGCCAGCTCCAACTCATGTACAGAATTTAATTAACAACTGCATTAATTTATAATTAAAAATCAGCATTTTCTGATTTTGTTAACTCTAGCTATATACATGATATATGCATGGTTGCTAGCTCCTATTGACAGCTATATTGGCAAAGATTGAAATTTTTCAAATGCAAGTCAAACTCTAAGGTTAAGGTCTAAATTATTAATTGGTACTTTAAAGAAATTTAAGGTCTTTTCTGCACACCTGTGAAATATATAAAAGATCTAGATAAGTTATCATGGTTATATAATTGTTTAAAAGTTATAGTCATGCAAGGTTAAAGTCTTTAAGGAAGTGGATCAAACTCTAAGGTCTAGGTCAAAAGGTCAGAAATGCCTTATGTCACAGTGAATATACACATGAAGTGTATGGAAACCCTAGCATCAACTGTTAAAAAAATTATGGCCAGGGTTAAAGTTGGGTATTTTTTTGTTGTAAATATGGGTCAAAATCCAAGGTCAAGAGGTAAAAATTGATGGTATAGAAAGAAAGGTATTGTCACAAGGAATATACACCTGTGAAATATGATATGTCAAAATGAAAAATCTAATTATATGTCTTCAAGGTGTTGTTTTGAACCACATTACATTTTCCTGATATCAGCAGCTGATCAGTAAAGCCCTAACCAAGAATCGCCCATCCTTAAAAAGTATGTATTTTTTATCTGAAAATTGCTAATTTCCAATGTCACCTTAACCGTATATACTACTTAAGGATGCACACTACCGGGAGGTTGCATCAGATGCTGAATCTGACCTACCTTTTCCAGATGAGTACTACACCAGTGAGTTAAAGGTTTGGAGCAAGTTCATTCTTTAAAGTAACTATAAGCCATATGTTGACCAAATGGTCATGGTTGATATATCTAAGAATGCACACTACCCGGATTGCTTTTGATGCTGGATCTGACTTAAATTTTTTTGGATGAGTAAACAGGTTTTTATCACCTCGCGCAACTAGTTCTCAGCGTTTACATATTTGTGTGGCAGTATAAAAAGATGAAGCCTATTCATTTTCAAGTTCATTGTTGAAATATTTCTTCAGATATCATGTTTTCACTCTCGAAATCCTGATATTTTATGTACGAGTGGACAATAATCATTCCCGCTAGGGAACCAGTTTAGGCCAAATAAAATGAATCTTGAGATTCTCATCCCCGTCCGCCCCTCTCAAAATGTCCAGCCCCGGTGTTTTTTATTTCGATTTTTGGGTACTAAAAGTATTTCCATGTATTTTTTTTTCAGCAAGAATTTGGGTCAAAGTTTACGAGTTATCTCCCGTCTGTATTAAAAATCGCGTATAGCTACTTATAGCAAAAGAATGTTAAGGGATCTTAAAACTTAAATTTTAAAACTATTCAGGTCAAGGTTTTCCAGTAGAATACTTTATTAGAATATATTTTATAGATTTGCAAATATGACCTATTTTTATGTTGATATGTAAAGTCTCAAGAACGATCAAATTTTTGAGGAAGGTAGAAATCTATGATATTATACAGAAATCAGAGGGATTTGTTGGTAAAACTAAAACGTATTTGGGGAATTCTGACATGCATACATTTACTGGTATCCCCACCTCATTTTGTTTGGAGTGTGCCGTATTTGTTTACTTGATAATTTTTTAATTAACAATAAATGTTTAATTTTTTAAAGCAAGAATCTAATCTTTAAATATTTAAAAGAATATGAAAAGAATAAAATCTATTCATATTGGCAATAATATAATAAAAAATGTTTACGAGAGTCCATGTTCTGTCGATACATTCAATTTAACAATTTTAAAAAATAAAAAATAAAATCCGCCCACCCGCCCCAATTTTTTAGCAAATTAGGATGAGAATCTAAAGATTAATTTTATCTGGCCTTAAGAGCCAGTTTTAAAGTTTAAAAGGCGGAGTGTCGAGTCTGCGGGAACTGGATTAAAAGAATATGGTGAACATTCGCGTTGCGGTTTCATTACCAAATTCCAACAGGTGTCTGGGACTTTGGGGTACCGGTGCACGTTATTCCTGAAAGCTGTAAATATAATCCTCAAGTTCAAATTAACCTCTCGATGTACAGATATGTACATTTTTATTTTTCATTACCAAAAAGGGGGTACAGGTGCACGTTATTCCTGAAAGCTGTAAATATAATCCTCAAGTTCAAATTAACCTTTCGATGCACAGATATATATGTACATTTTTAGGTCACCTGAGTAAACTCAGGTGACCTATTGCTATCCGTTTTCGTCCGTCGTCGTGCGTCGTGCGTCGTGCGTTGTGCGTTAACATTTGAACATTTTCAGCTTCTTCTCTGCAACCACTGAACCAATTTCAACCAAATTTGCCACAAAGCATCTATGGGTGAAGGGGAACAAAAATTGTGAATTTCATGATCCCTGCCCCCCAGGGGCCTGAGGGGTGGGGCCAAAACCACTAAAATTAATGCAATCTTTAAAAATCTTCTTCTTTACTCCTGGGCATCAAGCAGTCAAACTGGTTGCATGATTGTAATCAGCAATGAGTCCTCTACCAAAATTGTGAAATTCATGGCCCTGGGGTCAGGGGTTCTAGTGCTAGGGCGGGGCTAAATAAGTAGGTAGTGAAAATGCATTATTTCTTTGAAAATCTTCTTCTCTGCTCCTGGGTATTAAATAAACTAACTAAGTACATAGTTATGATGAGCAAGAGTGCCTCTACCAAAATTGTGAATTTTATGGCCCCAGGGTCAGGGGTTCTGGTGTTAGGGTGGGGCTCTATTGATTATATAGTGAAAATACAGGAATTCTTTGAAAATCTTCTTCTCTGCTCCTGGGTATTAAATAAACTAACTAAGTACATAGTTATGATGAGCAAGAGTGCCTCTACCAAAATTGTGAATTTTATGGCCCCAGGGTCAGGGGTTCTGGTGTTAGGGTGGGGCTCTATTGATTATATAGTGAAAATACATGAATTCTTTGAAAATCTTCTTCTCTGCTCCTGGGTATTAAATAAACTAACTAAGTATATAATTATGATGAGCAAGAGTGCCTCTACCAAAATTGTGAATTTTATGGCCCCAGGGTCAGGGGTTCTGGTGTTAGGGCGGGGCTCTATTGATTATATATTGAAAATACATGAATTCTTTTAAAATCTTCTTCTCTGCTCCTGGGTATTAAATAAGCTAACTAAGTGCCTAGTTATGGTGAGCAAGAGTGCCTCTACCAATATTGTGAATTTTATGGCCCCAGGATAAGGGGTTCTGGTATTAGGGGGGGGGGGGCTCTATTGATTATATAGTGAAAATACATGAATTCTTTGAAAATCTTCTCTGCACCTGGGTATTAAATAAACTAAGTGCATAATTATAATGAGCAAGAGTGCCTCTACCAAAATTGTGAATTTTATGGCCCCAGGGTCAGGGGTTCTAGTGCTGGGGGGGGGGGGCTCGATAGATTATGTAGTTAAAATACACGAATTCTTTCAAAATCTTCTTCTGTGCTCCTGGGTATTAAATAAACTAACTAAGTGCATAGTTATGATGAACAAGAGTGCCTCAACCAAAATTGTGAATTTTATGGCCCCAGGGTCAGGGGTTCTGGTGTTAGGGTGGGGCTCTATTGATTATATAGTGAAAATACAGGAATTCTTTGAAAATCTTCTTCATTGCTCCTGGGTATTAAATAAACTAACTAAGTGCATAATTATGATGAGCAAGAGTGCCTCTACCAAAATTATGAATTTTATGGCCCCAGGGTCGGGTTTTGGTGTTAGGGCGGGGCTCTATAGATTATATAGTGAAAATTCATTAAATCTTTAAAAATTTTCTTCTCTGCTCTAGGGTATTAAGCAGATGAACTACCTATATAGTTATTATCTACAAGGGCCCTAATCTTCCAGAATTGTGAATTTCAAGGCCCCAGGGTCAGGGGTAATATGGGGGTGTGTACTTATATACTGAAAATGAATGAATGGTTTGAAATTTGCTCCTTGGTATTAATCAAATATCAAGGCCTAAGGGTCAGGGGTTCATGTGTAGTAGGGGCACTACTGATTATTGCTGAATATAACTGATTAGTTGAAATGCATTTTTTGTTCCCCTACCTTGTGTATGGGTATTGAGTAAACAAACTAAGCAACTGCTAAGTGAATTGTTATGATGAATTAAATTTAATCACTGGAAAGTTGTTGCATAATGCTCAGGTGACCTATAAGGCCCATGGGCCTCTTGTTGTTTTTCATTACCAAAAAAATGCATATTGCCTGGAACTGTGAGATATACTTAGGAAGGTAAATAATTAAAATTGCTGAAACTTATACATATAGCATACGTGATATTTTTCTGCTAGGTACAAGGGAAACTGCCCAATTACATATGCATATTATGCCCCCTCCCCCCCAAAATGCTATGCAATTTGATTTTGGTTCAAAATAGACAATCCCCCACCCCCGATGATTTTGTTTAAAAAATAAATAGTGCTGAAAAATAATGTAATATATTAAATTTTACTACCCCAAATTAGGTATCCATATTATGCCCCCCATCCCCCTTAACCAAGACGCTATGCACTTTGCATTTTGTACTGAAAAATTAATCAACAAAAACACATCACTAATAATTTTATCAAAAGTAAAGGAGTAATCCTAATGATGCGGGTTTGAATCCGTTTGTGGGACGTGGAGACTGGTCATTCAAATGAGACCATGTAAACCAAGGGCCCATGTCCCAATAGATGCTGGCACAAAAAGATCCCTCACTTTTCAATGGTTGTCAGTTCCTATTATAGGAAATAATGTGCAGCTCTCTGCCAGCAAGCCTTACATATGAGCAAATAATTCCTGAGAGGGACATTAAACAAAATACATTGTACTATCAATCTTTAACAAGTTTAAGGTCCTTTGAGAGAATTTATCTCTTATGAGATATTGTCATTGTCAGTGAAGTCCCTGTCGCGAGGGGATGCTCCGCTTAGCGGTGCCCTTGTTGATTTTTTTTTGTGTTAAGTCTCATTTCCAAGTAATGTTGACCAAACTAAAATGCATGGATAATAATTAGGGATGTCAACGAATATTCGAATATTCATTCGATGAGTTGATATTCGAATATAAACATATGATTCGAATATTCGGTTTTTAAGTGTACAATCATATAATATAGAGAGAAATCTGGCAAGTTTTATATGAAATTGAATCAAGGTCGCACTGGTGACAAGGAATAAGATTTGATTTTAAAAAAAGTTAAAGACACTCCTGTTGGATTGCTTTAAAAGTGTGAAGTGTGTAACTATTAAAATAAATTATTCTTTGATCATTTAATTAGTTGTATACAGTGCCAAGTACTTAAAATCAGTTTGTATTGTTGTAAGGTTGTTTTGTTTTAAGGACACCGTTTTACAGAAAACACATGGGTCCATTGTTTTTGTATATATCATTAAAATAATTATCAGGAAATTAATCAGCTAAAATTAATTGACTTTACTTTTTCTTCAGAAGATAATTGTTTAGCGTGGTATCAATTAGTAGGAGCAGGTATTGTAGACTTTGGCAAGACGATCAATTAATCTGGAACTTATGAAAGATACTTTTGAATTTGAAAAAATATAATCACATTTTGGATGTGTTCTCTTTTATATTCTGTAACATTTTGAAAATATAATTACTTTGCATTTACAAAACTCTATGTAAAATTTTATTCCAAAGTAATGACATAAAATGTATACTGGTTGATAGGACAGTAAAAATATATTTTTTCTATTGCAAAATGTATTTATTTTATCGAATATTCGAATATATTCGAATACTCCTATCGAATATTCGAATATCAATTATTGACTATTTTGACATCCCTAATAATAATCTAAGGATACACTTTACCATGCTTGTGTCAGTTAGATGATGGAATTGACCTATTTCTACATTTTCCGGATGATTGAACAGATAAAGTTTTTGGTGCAGGTCTCATTTTCAAATAATTATATGCAGGTCTCATTTTCAAATAATTATATGCCCTAGATATGTTGTCCAAACTTACGGATGGAATCGATACATTAAAAGGATGCACATTTATGGACTTGCTTTAAGGATGCTGGATCTGACCTACATTTTCTGGATGAGGGAATAGGTTAAAGTCTTTAATTGCTAATGGAACTGGTTCATAATATAACTAAAGTAACTTTAAGCCCTATGTTTACCAAACTTGCCTGGATGACTGCATCAATGGATGCACATTAATGGACTTGCTTCAGATGATGGATTTGAATAACTTATATATTTTCTAGATGAGTGACTAGTCTGAAATTTTGGTTAAGTCTTTGCTGTGAATTTAAGTAACTGAAAGCAATATCAGATCAAAAATTGCAAAAATATTAAATATTGTAACTTTGGATGTACATTATTAGCTTATTAGTTTAATACATGTGGGACTTTACATTAATACTTGATGACAACATTTGTTGATGTGAGCTCTGTTATCTCTGATTACCTATAATGTTTATGTTTATGCAGTGTTGTCCCCAAGAACTGAAATAGGAGGGGACATAAGTAGAAGGGTGGTCTGGGGTTTGTCCCCTAACAAGGAGTTTAAACTGGGGGAAATACCAGTCAGGGTTAATGTCAGGTAGGTGGGGAAATTCCCTGGACCTCAGGTCTTGGAGACAACCATATTATGTGAGGATATATGTATGGTATGAATCGATCATGTTCCATTTATTTCAAATAACAAAAAAAATGTGGATTTACAGGAAAAGATGAAGGGGAGGAGATACAAGAAGAAAGGGTGAAAAGGAAGGAAAAGGGAGAAAAGAAAAGGAGGAAGGAAGATACAAGGCAAAGAAAAGGTATATAATGTTCATTTACCCAAATGATATTTTTAAGATAATTGTTAATTTTTAATTCACCTCAACAAAATGGGGGGGGGGGGAGTTATTTAATTAATACCATCAACATCAGTGACACAGGTAAAAGTCTTTAGAGTAGATTAATTTCTTTTCAAGAATTTCTAAGCACTGAGATGCATGGAAAATGTTTTCATCTTTGATAGTATGATCTGTGATTAATTGTACGTGAGTGTCAAAGTTTCATCATGTTCATATGGTGCAATTTTAACTGAAGAGTGACAACTGACACTAAGCGAATGGTTTTTGGAGCAGGATGAAGTTTTTGAAGCAGGTTTTTGGATTAGATGTCATTTTCAAGCAACAACAATTAAGCTCTATTGACCAAACTTGCATGGATGTTACATCTAAGTATACAAACGACTAGACTAGCTTCTGATGCTGAATCTGACGTGCATTTTCTGTATAAATGACCAAGAAAATGTTTTGAGGATTTTCATTCTAAAGTAAGTACTGGTATAAGCCCTTGAAACTAATGAATTGCAATTTGATTAAAATCAGATCCTTTGATCCGCTCACATAGATCGCTACACAAGGATCTGAAGAAACCCCATGCATTCAGGGTTATCTCCTGGTGACCTAATTCTAATAAAAATATTTATGAAAATTTTGACCAATCAGAGAGATCATATTTAAACGACCTTCAGGAAAATGAATGTAGAAGTGAAAGTAGCTGTGAAGAAGTTATTATCGTTTTGTACCAAAAAAAAGAGAGCTAAAACCAAGACAAAAGCAAGTACTTATTATATTTCTCTACAGAAAAGACTGTAGTCATTCTCTTGGCAGGCTACGGGAACTATAGGTCACGATTTTCCGTTCGTGTGTCATCAGGGTTTTTACTTTTGTAACTCATGATCAGTTCCAAGATACTTCTAAATTCTTGGAAGTGAGCGTTTGATTGGATAATTGAGAGGTCACCAGGAGATGACCCTAAAGGAGGTTATTTCAGATCATTGTGAAGCGATCTAATTGTGAGCAGATCAAAGGATCTGATTTTAATCAGATTGACTTGAACTGATGACACATCTAGGAATAAACACTTCTAGACTTAATTGTTTTGGATGCTGGATCTGACATGCATTTTTTGGATGAATGGCCAGGTTTAAGTTTTTGAAGCAGGTATTCTATTGAAGTACATATAAGCCCTATATTGACCAAATTGAATGGATGATACATTTAAGGATGTTTAAGATGCTGCGTTTGACTTATTTTTATGCCTGACAAGGTTAAAGTTTTTAGGGCAAGTTCATTCTAAGGTAAGTTTTTGCCATATCTGGACTAAGCTTGCATTGAAAATACATCAAAGTATACATTAAAACTCACATGTCCCTCTAATTAAAATTAGGTGTTCTGAATTTGCTTTTGCTTCATAAACTTTTGTGAATCAGTAGTGGATTGGAAACATCTAATTTTATTTAGATGGCAAATTTGTGTATATGGTTTTTAGAGTGTTAAAAATGCAACAAGAATTTTCTTCAGAATTATTGAAGGGCTTTTTGATTATTTTTTCTGAAAATGCTGTCCTTTGAAAATCATTTTTATGAATTAAGATTAAACCTATTTTTATGTTTCTTGTTGATAGGCAATATCCTGACAAGGAGCTTAGTTCGTTTACGCCATGCACTCTCTACTCCCAATCTGGCACCATCCTCAACTAATGGCAATTCGAGCCCTGAACCCAGCCCAGCAAATTCAAGCCCAGAACTTGAAAGAGCCAACTCATGTTCTGAAATCAGCAGAGCAAATCCAAGGCCTGAAACCAGCAGAGCCTATTTGAATTCCAAACCCAACATAATCATTTTGGACTCTGAACCCAGCACAGCCAATTCGAGCCCTGAAACCAGCAGAGCCCATCTGGATTCTGAACCCAACATAACCATTTTGGACTCTGAACCCAGCACAGCCAATTCGAGTCCAGGACCTAGAAGACACAATTCAAGCCCTGAAACCAGCAAAGCCCATCTGGTTTCTAATCCCAGCATAACCATTCTGAGCCCTGAACCAAGCACAGCCAATCCTAGTCTCATCACAGCCCATCTTATCCCTGAACCTAGCACAATCAATCAATGCCAGTTTGAAGAGAATGAAGGGTTCAATTTATCAGCCTCACCCCCATCTGTAGGCAATGTGAGCCCTCCACCTACCATGACCAATCTAATCTTTGAGCCTACAGTTGGCAATCTGAGTCCTAAACCTACCACAGCTGTTCTAAGCCCTACCCTAACTACAGTTAATTTAAGTCCTACAATTACCACAGTCAATTCAAGTCCTACAATTACCACAGTCAGTTCAAGCCCTACAATTACCACAGTCAATTCAAGCCCTCTACCCACTATAGCCAGTCTGAACCCTGGACCAATTGCAACCCGACCAAGACTTAGACCATTGGTAAAGATTGGAGGAAGATTAGACTCAGCCAGTCCTATATCTAGACCTATCAGAGCTAAACCAATCCCAAAATACATTACAACTAATCTACCCCCAAGACCTACCACAGCTAAACTAAGCACTAAATACACCACAAGCAATCCAATCCGTAAACCTGCTACAGCCAATCTGAGCATTAGACAATGGGTCATGATTGGAGGGATCAAAATATCAGTTGTGGAAGGACAACTCATTGATGAACAGGTCAGTTTTTTAAACTCATCTGAGCTTTTCTGATCAAAATTTTCCCCTTGCCTGCTGACATTGTTGTAAACTTTTAACATCTTTATCTTCTCCTGGACCACAACTTGGCAAAAATGCTTTTGGAGTGAACGGGATTCAGGTTTGTTTAATAAAGGGTCACTCTCTCTTCCTAGGGGATCGGAAATGATTAAGAAAAAATGAACCAAATTGGACGCAAGCTTTTATTGATGTGGAAGTTTATTTCGCTTATTTGAAGTGCACAACTGACCTTTGTCAATCAAGAAAAACAAGACTTTACAATAATAATTTATTTACAAAAATTCAAAATAGCGCTCAGGCACTGGTGTTGCATAGGTAGACATCAGTACTATGTGTCCTAAACTGAATTGGAAGTACCATATATCCTTGGTCTTACTCTTAAGCTTTCAATGTCCGACTTATAGGCGAGTCATAAAGGGACAGGTATTTTTCTGGACGCTGAAATGTAGTATTTCATATGCATTTCTGACAATCATCGAAGTAAATGTATGGATATGTATGATAATCTATGTTTTCTTAGATTATACATAAAAAAAAACCCAAGTATTTACATAATATTATTTTAATAATTTTATTTGTATCTTAAGTGAGCATTACCTATCTGTTAAATGAGTTAAGATTAAATATCAGTGTTATTTAGAAAAATATTAGATGAAACCAGGTAAAACATAAAGGATTTACTTGAATTAAATTGTCACCCAATTTCGGCAAAAAATTGCACCAACTTATAAGCAGGTCAATGGCAAATCCCACCAAAATAACGTCAAGAAATACAACTGACTTACAGGCGGACTAACTTATAGGCAAGTATATACAGTACTGGATTGGGAGTGGGACAGGATTTTTGATATTTTTACGAGTGCGAAGCACGAGTGAAAATATCAAAAAATTCTGTCTCACGAGTGAAATAAATTCCATATTCAACTACAAAACATTGAATTTTCTGTTTATTAATTTAAAAAAAAAAAATCTTTGATTTTTCCTTTGCCTCTGTCTTTTTGTAATACAGTCATAGGCTCGTGACGCCATAGTGGAGAATTAAGACGTCATAGCTATGTGAAGTGAAAACACTGTAAACATTGATTTAGCAACATATTTTTGGTAATTTTGACAGTTTTATTCGCTCTCACAATGGTTTATGTATTTCCATCTATCTTATATTAGGTCAAGGAAGATTTTTTTTACAGCAATCTTTGTTATGGGAAGGGAAATCGAGAGTTTTCCCACCCTTCTGATATTCGTCACACTGTGACAGGATATCATTTTGATATCCTTTCACACTGTGACAGGATATCATTTTTATTCAATGAATAAATTACAGTATTTCACGGGTAAAAATGTAATAATATTTATTATAATATCAATTTGGACATCAAACTCTCTGTATTCCTGACACTTTTATAAGGTGCACATGAACTTGTGCCACACTGAAATTTGAATCTCTATGATCATTTTAATACAGTAGGGAATTTTATTGTCTTCCCTATGGTCAAAAGGGTTTGCCAATTAATGTTTTTGAAAAAGCATTTATCAGTAAATGCAACAAGTACTGTGTTGCTCACATTATTTTGAATGAAAATGATCATGGTGGAATTGTACATGTATACTGTCTTCTTTTTTAGCTCTGAAGGGCATATGTGATTGTAAACATGCAATTATTAAAACACTACTTCTCCTATCATTTTGGCTTGACCCGATGTAGCTACAAGAAAAGAAAGTTATAATTGCCAAAAAACTGTTTTCGATAATATAACTTAGCATGTTTCTTGTGTTTTTAGCTCACCTGAGCCAAAGGCTCAAGTGAGCTTTTCTGATCAAAATTTGTCCGTTGTCTGTCGTCGTTGTTGTAAACTTTTCACATTTTCATCTTCTTCTCAAGAACCACAGGGCCAATTTCAAGCAAACTTGCTACAAAGTATCTTTGGGTTAAGGGGATTTAAGTTTGTTCAAATGAAGGGCCATGCCCTTTTCTAATGGGAGATAATTATGAATTAGAGAAAAAATCATGGCATTAATTAAACAAGAGGCCCATGGACCACATCGCTCACCTGAGAAGCTTTGACCATTCTGTTCTTTACCAGATTTCCTCCTTGTAATACATAATGCATCCCCACTCTACCCCACTGATCATAATTTAGACATTTTGAAATCTACACTACCCCAGGATCCTTCCATGTGCACATAAGTTTCAGCTTTTCTGGCCCAGTAGTTCTTGAGAAGAAGATTCTTAAAAGATTTTTACTTAATATATCTGTGTAAAACTTGGATTCCCTTTTGTGGCCCCGCCCTTCACCCGGGGGTCATGATTTTAACAATTTAGAATCTACACTACCCTAGAATGTTTCCACATAAGTTTCAGCTTTTCTGGCCCAGTGGTTCTTGAGAAGAAGATTTTCGCAGATTTTTCCAATATATTTCTATGTAAAACTTGAATTCCCCATTGTGGCCCCGCCCTTTCCCCGGGGGTCATGATTTGAACAAATTAGAATCTACACTACCCCAGGATGCTTCCACATAAGTTTCAGCTTTTCTGGCCCAGTGGTTCTTGAGAAGAAGATTTTCAAAGATTTTTCCAGTATATTTCTATGTAAAACTTTGATTCCCCATTGTGGCCCGCCCTTCCCCCGGGGGTCATGATTTGAACAATTTTGAATCTACAATACCCCAGGATGCTTCCACATAAGTTTCAGCTTTTCTGGCCCAGTGGTTCTTGAGAAGAAGATTTTCAAAGATTTTTCCTATATATTTCTATGTAAAACTTTGATTCCCCATTGTAGCCCCACCCTTCCCCCGGGGGTCATGATTTGAACAATTTAGAATCTACACTACCCCAGAATGCTTCCACATAAGTTTCAGCTTTTCTGGCCCAATGGTTCTTAAGGAAAAAATTTCAAACATTTTTCCAATATATTTCTATGTAAAATTTTGATATCCCATTTTGGCCCCGCCCTACCCCTGGGGGTCATGATTTGAACAATTTTGAATCTACACTACCCCAGGATGCTTCCACATAAGTTTCAGCTTTTCTGGCCCAGTGGTTCTTGAGAAGAAGATTTTCAAAGATTTTTCCTATATATTTCTATGTAAAACTTTGATTCCCCATTGTGGCCCCGCCTTTCCCCCAGGGGTCATGATTTGAAGAATTTTAAATCTACACTACCCAAGAATGCTTCCACATAAGTTTCAGCTTTTCTGGCCCAGTGGTTCTTGAGAAGAAGATTTTCAAAGATTTTTCCTATATATTTCTATGTAAAACTTTGATTCCCCATTGTAGCCCCACCCTTCCCCCGGGGGTCATGATTTGAACAATTTAGAATCTACACTACCCCAGAATGCTTCCACATAAGTTTCAGCTTTTCTGGCCCAGTGGTTCTTGAGTAGAAGATTTTCACGGATTTTTCCAATATATTTCTATGTAAAACTTTGATTCCCCATTGTGGCCCCGCCCTTCCCCCGGGGGTCATGATTTGAACAATTTCGAATCTACACTATACCAGTATGCTTCCATATAAGTTTCAGCTTTTCTGCTCCAGTGGTTCTTGAGAAGAAGATTTTTTAATGACCCCACCGTATTTTTGTCTTTTCTTGATTATCTCACCTTGTGAGGGGACTTGGCCCTTTATTTTAACAATTTAAATTCCCCTTCACCCAAGGATGCTTTGTACCAAGTTTGGTCAAAATTGGCCCAGTGGTTCTTGAGAAGAAGTCAAAATGTGGAAAGTTTACAGACGGACGGACAGACGGATGGACGGACGACGGACAAAATGTGATCAGAAAAGCTCACTTGAGCCATTGGCTCAGGTGAGCTAAAAAGTCTTCTTCTCAAGAATCACTGGGCCAGGAAAAATGAAACTCATGTGAAATCATCCTCAGGTACTGTGTAGATTCAAATTTGTTCAAATCGTGACCGCCGGGGGTAGGATGGGGCCAAAATGGCCGATCAAAGTTTTACATAGGAATATATATGAAAATTCTTTAAAAATCTTCTTCTCAAGAACCACTGGGCCAATAAAGATGAAACTCATCTGGAATCATGCTCAGGTAGTGTAGATTGAAATTTGTTCAAATCATGACCCCAGGGGGTAGGGTGGGGCCAAAATGGCCGATCAAAGTTTTACATAGGAATATATAGGAAAAATCTTTAAAAATCTTCTTCTCAAGAACCACTGGGTCAGGAAAGATGAAACTCATGTGGAATTATCATCAGGTAGTTTAGATTTAAGTTTGTTCAAATCATGACCCCTGAGGGTAGGGTGGGGCCAAAATGGCCGATCAAAGTTTTACATAGGAATATATAGGAAAAATCTTTAAAAATCTTCTTCTCAAGAACCATTGAGACAGGAAAGATGAAACTCGTGTGAAATTATTCTCAGGTAGTGTAGATTCAAGTTTGTTCAAATCATGACCCCCGGGGATAGGGTGGGGCCAAAATGGCCAATCAAAGTTTTACCTAGGAATATATAGGGAAACCGTTTAAAATCCTCTTTTCAAGTACTTCAAATCCATGCTTAGTGATATTTACATGGAATCATCCTCAGGTAGTGTAGATTCTAGTTTGTTCAAATCATGCCCCTCTGGGGGTTAAAATTCAAGACCCACCCCACCCACCCCCCAAACTCGGTAAACTTTCAGTTCTGATCTGATATGTGCTTTTTCCTTGCCAATTGCTCAGGTGAGGGATGTGGCCCCTGGGCCTCTTGTTTAAACGTAACTTAATTTAAGTCAAATAAGATTGTAAAAGTAAATCCATATCTTATATACTATACAGGTTGATGTGTATGTGAATGGAGTGCCCTCTAGCTTTGACCTGAGTAAAATTCCTAGTAAGAAATTAAGTGATGCTGCGGGACCAGCTTTGGAAGCTGACTGCAAGAAGAGATTTCCTAATGGCCTAAAAATAGGAGACATTGCAGACACAGGGGGCTTTAATTCCAAGTGCCAGAGAGTGTATCATGTGACCCTTCCCAGAAGTCAACAGGATGGCAGTCAGAACAAGGTGTGTATATGTGTAAATTAGCTAGATCACTGTTTAGTTTGTTGGAAATGCTTGGTCATTAATGATAATTGGAAATGTGGGAGATTATTTGTGTAAATGTTGTTAGAAAATTCAATATAAATTTTTCAGTTGCATGTAAAATTTTCCATTATTTAAACATGACAATTATAAAATACTGTATCATGATACACACTGGTTATATGATATCCATATCATGAGACCTTGTGATCAATACGATAGATGTATGCTGTATAAAAGTGATTAATTATATAACATGCGCGGATCTAGAGGGGGGATCGGGGGGGGTCAGGACCCCCCCTGGAATTTACCAGGTTAAAAAATGTATATACTAAAACAAGAAAAAAGTTACCATGGACCCCCCCCCCCTGGAAAAAGCTGACCCCCCTTGTAAACGCGAATATGTGTGAAATGGGTATGAAAAGTGAAAGATTTGAGGCAATAGAAGTCACCACTAAACACCCCCCCTCCCTTTCACTTTCAGTTTTTATTAGGCTATTGTTTGAATATGTGCATATTGGACAAATGAAAGGAATAAGGGATGTAAATTTCAAAAGTTCAACATTATACAGCACACTGGAGCTTGAAAAAAAGTTTTGACACTTGCATTAAACAACAACACCAAAACAAAAAAAATCTACATGTCATGTGAAAGAAATGTAAAATTAACTAGAAACGATCTCGTTGCGAGCAACGAGAGGTCTTCCGTCCGCTTTAGGAAAAGAAACCCACGTAAAATCGAGCTGAAAAGAGATTCAAAATTTTGGTCACAAGGAGGATTGAACCCATGTCGCCAAAGTGAATGCGCTTTTTTAAAAAATACTTTTTTATCCCCAACGCGCTAACCATTAAGCTATTGGGAGTACTGCTCTAAATATACTTGTGTATACTTTTGCAACAGTTCACCTGTCTAAGAATTATAAAAAAGCATTCATAATTTCGTGCCAAACGCCACGAGTAAATATTCGCGCCTTTTCTTTGGACTGATCTATTAAATAGGTATGATAGCTTCAATTAAATTTCAAAAATAAAACATTCTTAGCGCCTTTATTTTATTTCGACGTTAAGAAAGTATATGTAACACACCATACACATTACATATCATATCTAGCCCAGTTACACTAAAGCAGTGAAACGGAAATTAAGTTTTAAGATTGACACTCAATTGCAACGTACTACTGTAACGTGTCGGACCTGAGTGGTCAGTAGGTCCATGCTCGGATTACCGAGTTTTACTGGGGATACGATTGAATGCAATATATACAGATAATAATATGACACCTGCCTGGTGTCTTTAAATCAAATGACCTAAGTGCTTTGTACAATTATATATCTTCAGTTAATACCGGCATCTTCCTGGTGCCATATGACAATTGCCTCACTATACAACTGACTATATGAGTCAACAGCCACCTGCCTGGTGCCTCTTGATTTAGCCTTTAACACCTGCCTGGTGTCTTACTGCTTACCAAGTTACCATATTATAACTCTAGCCAAGTGGCTACAATATACTTACACAGTATGATTTAACTTTGTAAGAGCTTCTCTGCCCTAATGACAAACCTATAGCTCACGTCACACAACTGTATTTTAACAAGTCACTAACTACAGCAACTTTGCACAATCCGATTTGATCGATACACCAATTGGTTTCTGTACCAAAGTGGAGACACAAGCCAGTTGGCTGTACTGCCCCCTTGTACCTCAACTTAATCAATGATCATAAGTTATCAGATATCATATTGATAAAATACAACAGACTGCCTTTCTTTTGGCAACACTATTATTATTTTCTAACAGAACATCATTTATCAATAATACTTGTATAATTCTTTTGTCAATTGACCAATTAATTACAATATTTACATTGATTAGCTATTATAATATAAACAAGTAACGGGACGTAACTCCTCCAACCATTTCACTACTACGTTAGAGTCGAAGTAGTTTTTTACATTTCATGTATCCTTATGTCAGAATCGTTTAATCAAGCGCTCAGCTGCCTCCATAAACCCCTACTCACAAAATGGCGGAGTTGACAGAGGCAGCCGCCATCTTGGGCCCGCTTCAGATTTTCAAATATTAATATCTAGAGTTCAGATTAACCAATAATCAAACAACTTATATAGTAAACATCAATAGAAAGGTCTCTATTAATATTCCAAAAATAAATAAAAACTATTGGAAAACAAAAAAGTTAGAAAATACGCTTTTTTCAATTCGCATCTCCTAACGACAGGAAGTATTGACGACGAACGAAAGGTCGCGTCCTGGATAGTATCTATCACACTCTATAATCCCTGAAAGTTTCACATTGATATCTTTTACCGTTCTTGAGATTAACCACAGACAAAATGTCATTTTAAAATCAGGAAATGTCCCGTAACTTGGCACCAGATAAGAATTTTCAAAAAATCGCTCAGATAGATCAAGTTCATGTTACGACACATCGTTTCTGAAAATTTCATGTAATTTCATCCAGTAGTCTTCGAGAAATCACGTGCACAAAATTTTGGAAAAAAAATAATAAAAAGAACTAGAAACGATCTCGTTGCAAGCAACGAGAAGTCTTCCGTCCGATTTTGAAAAAAAGTAAAATTAAGCTAAAAAGGGGATTAAAATTTTTTTGTGACAATGGGGATTGAACCCAATGGGGAAAAACCAACTCACTTTTTATTTCTATCTCTAGCGCAAACCACTACGCTATTGGAACTACTACTCTTAATGTTCCTGTATATATACTTCTACAATAGTACACCTGTTTAAGAATCATGAAAGGCGGGCAATTATTCATAATTTTGCGCCAAACGCCACGAGTAAATCTTCGCGCCTTTTCTTTGGAATGTTCCATTGAATGGGCGTGATATTAAGACCGTTATTACAGTGAAATTAAAAAGAAGAACGTTCCTAAATTCTAAAATTCGAGGTTTAGAAATTATATTTTGCATTCTACACATTCTATATCGTATAGAGGTAAGTTAAACTAAAGCAATGCAATTGCTATAATTTAAAACCCTCTTTTGAATTTCCCGTTTATCCCCAGAGTGAACTATCCCTATTAGTTACACTTTCATGAAAAGGTTGAAATGGTTTGACGAAAACATGTATCGCCCTACGACGGTCAAGAAACCGGATACCATTTATGTTTAATAACTTGGATCGTATCGATCTTTGAGAAAAGAATGTTAATTCAAATCACTAGTACATTAAACGATCTTTTTAAAAATATTTTATTTTGGTCTTTTCTATTAGTTTAATATGACACAAGTGTGCATGGGGTAACAATGTTTACGTTTTATACTTACTATATAGATCGGTATTGTTTCTTGAAAAAACTTTTACTCAAACTAAGATTTAAGATCTGTTTTCCGTGGTTCAAAGATAGTAGATATCTATTTCATTTCCACATTTAGTCTATTCTTTTTCTACTTTGATAACCAGCCAAAACCAATTATAGAAGACGTTTGAGAAGACCCTGGAATATATCTTTAGTTTGACACAGAATTGTAACGTAATTACTACGTGACAATCAACGTACTCATCTACATTCCATTCATCCTTATGTAACTTTCATTTAAGCAAACGCTCAGCTGCCTCTTTAACCCCCTACTCACGAAATGGCGGAGTTGACAGAGACAGCCGCCATCTTAGGCTCGCTTCAGATTTTCAAATGTTAATATCTAGAGTTTAAATTTATTAATATTCAAACAAATTATATGGTAAGCATCAATAAAAGAGTCTCTATAAACATTCCAAAAATAAATGAAAAATATTGAAAAACAAAAAAGTTAGGAAATATGATTTTTTTTAATTTGCTTGTCGTAATGACCGGAAGTACTGACGACGAACGAAAGGTCGCGTCCTGGAAGGGGAATATCACGATCTATAATCCCTGAAAGTTTCACATTGATATCTTTTACCGTTCTTGAGTTTAACCGCGGACAAAATGTCATTTTAAAATCAGGAAATGTCCCGTAACTTGGCACCAAAAGGGAATTTTCAAAAAATCGCTCAGATAGATCAAGTTCATGTTACGACACATCTTTTCTGATAATTTCATGTAATTCCATCCAGTAGTCTTCGAGAAATCGCGTGAACAAAATTTTGGAAAAAAAATAAAAAGAATAATAAGAAACAGTAGAATAACTATAAGGTCTTCCGTGAAGACGGAAGACCTTAATAATAATAAGAAACAGTAGAATAACTATAAGGTCTTCCGTGAAGACGGAAGACCTTAATGACACTTTCCCCATCATGTCAGCTGCAGTATGCAGCGACTTGGTGTCATATTCTATTATGATGTCATATACTGTAAACCAACTTTTATTCGCGTGCGAGAAATATTTGCGAGTTTCGTAGCCTACTTTAAATCGGGAATATTAATCGCTGCAAACCATTTATTAGGGCCTCGCTTGGCGGGCGCCCTATAGTGATCAGTCTGTCCGTCCGTCCGAGATCTCTTGTCCGGAGCATATCTTCTCTCTCCTTGGCCCAATCTGGCTCATACTTCACCCACAGAGTGCCTTTGGGTAACCGATGTGCAGTGACCTTGAACCATATTTGTAGGTCAAAGGTCAAGGTCATAGCAGAATTATATGAAAAATCTTTGTCTGGAGCATATCTTCTCTCTCCTTGGCCCAATCTGGCTCATACTTCACCCACAGAGTGCCTTTAGGTAACCAGTGTGCAGTGACCTTGAACCATGTTTTTCTAGGTCAAGGTCATAGCAGAATTATATGAAAAATCCTTGTCCGGAGCATATCTTCACTTCCTTGGCCCAATCTGGTTCATACTTCACCCACAGAGTGCCTGTGGGTAACTGGTGTGCAGTGACCTTGAACCATGTTTCTAGGTCAAAGGTCAAGGTCATAGCAGAATTTTATGAAAAATCCTTGTCCGGAGCATATCTTCTCTCTCCTTGGCCCAATCTGGCTATTACTTCACTCACAGAGTTCCACTGGTCAATGGATGTGCAATGACCTTGGTCGAAGTTTCTAGGTCATGGTCAGAATTAGCCTCTCTGTTTAAAATCTTTGTTTGGTGCATTATTTTTTCCCTTTAATTCTAGTAAATTTATATAACTGGGGATACAAGATAACTTCGATATATATCTGTAAATTCGCAATATCCGTGAAGTCGTACTAAATGACTTTTACTGTATTACAAATGTTCCTCTTCAAAATAAACCCTTTTAAACTACCTAACATTTTCATGTTCATTGTTGAAAGCAGGGCCCTCCTTTGAGATGGCCATCATCTCAATGATATCTAGTTTTGCTTAGTTTTTGAGACAATGTGTCCTTATTCGTGAAAGTTAATCGCTGCGGATTGATTTCAAACTAATGAATCGCGAATAAAAGATGACGCGAATAATAGTTGGTTTACAGTATAGGTAGTTCAGAATAGTGACTACAGTTTGAACCATTTGATATTTTATGGACAGCCTAGCTGGGAATGATATGACTGACAAAGTTAACATAGATCTCGACCTTTCATGAATCATCATGTTCAGCTTGAAGAACATCTAACATGGTTTAGTATTTTGAAAAATTGTTTTTTTTTAATTTTATAAAGATTTTAACACAATCAGTAAAGGACTGCCTTGAGAGGGCCAATAAAAACAGCTTCAGTTCCATTGCTGTACCAGATCTGGGGTCCCCCATTGGGTACCCTCACAGTATCCTGGCAGACCTGATGTTCACCGCGGTGGAGGAGTTCAGTAAAGGGAAATCCAACCCCAATCTCAGCCTAGTGGTGTTCTCCATCTTCAAAAATCAAGTTTATACGGTACCACTACATATTCCAGCATCGACTTATTAACAATTATTAATATTAAAGAAAAAAATTGTATATGAGGATAATTTCAATCTGTAACTTTATAATAATCTAATGTCTATAGCAAATGATAAATTTCAATCCCTTAAGTTTTAAAAAAACTTAATAACGTATACCAGTAACAGTGTTCAAATGTTGAATTATGTTTCTTTTTTTGTCCCGTGCCTGCATGGTACATGTTTGATTGTTATATATTTCCATATCTAATTTTTCTCTCTGTGATAACTCTTTGAAAGGTAGCGGAGTTAATTTCTTGATAATTTTACAGGAATGTAAATTAGGTAGGTCAATAGGTCAGGAGCTAAGGAGGCCTAATATGCATGCAAATCTCGTGCACATCTGTCTCTGAGTCTGACGCTAAGGAGGCCAAATATGCTGAAAATTTTGTGCGGCTGCCATTGTGTTTGACGTCAGTGGGCAATGACTATTGAAATTGGGATGGGAATCCTTGTGTAATTTAAATCTATGTCTGCATTCTTAAAGTCTAAATCTACAATTTTATTTCACAATGAAATGGAAATATAAGGAATCACTGTCTAGTTAGTATAGTATGCCAGGGACATCAACAATAGTGGGAAACATGAGATAATTTATGCATAACGGGCTTCACCCGTTATACAAATTATCCCATGTTTCCCACTATTGTTGATGCCCTGGCATACTATACTAATTAGACAGTGATTCCTTAAAAATAAGCTTGTTTTACAGTTTATACACTACAATATGTTTGCACATCTTTAACAGGCATTTGTTAACAAAGCAAAGGAAATATCCAGACAAAAATCAGGTATGAGAAATATATTTTTTTAATTTTTTAAGATTAGATCTTGGATAATTAATCTGATGATGTTCATTAGACGATGCTGTTCTTTTTTATTGTTGTTGGTTCATATTTCTTAAGAAAAAATTATTTAATTTTTGCTGTATACAGTAGTTGTTTCACAGAAGAAGAAATTTAAATTTGGAAGGGTAGAGGTCTGGTTGGAGGTTGGAGATATAACACAACAACATGTAAGTTAATTGCTGTAGAAAAAAATTAAACAAACACCATAAAGTTAGCTTAAAATGCTTTTTTTTACCTTCACCTTTCCTTTGACATTGACCTTAGACTAACTTTTAAGAAAGTACACTCAACAAATACAAAGCAAAATAAATACTTGTGGTGATAAATAGGAGTGATCATGTGAAATTATATTAGGTTGTGAAACTCGGGGATATATCTCAAAATTTTCATCTAATATTGCTAATATATGAACTTGGAGATTTTTAGCTCATGTTCATTGGGCCTTTTTTTTAGTTATAAGTCCCATTCCAGTAAAATTGTAGGGCACTTGGCCTAAGGTGTCCACTGCATCTGTTTGCCTATCTGTCCCTCTGTCTGTCAGTCCCATTTGGTTTTTTCACATATTTTTTTCTAAAAACTTGCAGATATTGAGCTGATTTTTGGTATGCATGTAAGTCTATCTCTTTTAATTACAGATCAAAGCATTTTGTTCTGCTTCAATGATTGTTTTCAAAATCATGGCATTTTCAATTTTTAACGTGAACAAGATTATATTTGCCAGTAGGGGACTTGTTTTTTTCATATAAGTATTGCATGTTTTCAGAATGATGGTAGGATCTTCACACTCTGAAAATCTGTTGATTTGAGATATTTTAATTAATGACAAGACATTGTTAGTTCAAGTCAAAATGAGCTTGTGCTTTACCCCTGGCATTGGTATCAGTATCCCGTTTAAAGTTTTAGGGTTAGTCTTCCCAACCTGGACCAAACTTGCAGGGACAATGCATACATATAAGGATGGATACTACCAGACTTGCTCGGATGCTGGATCTGACCAACATTTTACAGAAGAGTGACCATGTTTCAGTTTTTGGAGCAGGTTTTTCCCAAGTAGCTTTAAGCCATACCTAGACCAAATTTGTAGGGATGATGCTTATAGAAATGTACACTACCCTATCTGCTTCAGGTGCAGGAGACATATATTTTCCAGATGAGTGAATTATAGACATTTTGATTAAATTAGCATGAATGATGTTTCTCTAAGGGATGGACACTTCCAGGGTTGATTTAATAAGATGCTGATTTTGACCAATATTTCAGATAAGTGAACTGTCGGGTCAAGTTTTTGCAGTAGCTTTATAATTATACAACCATGTTAGGATTAAATTGCATAGATGAATCGCATTTAAAGCTGGACACTTCCAGTCTTGCTTTGAATGTTTGAACTGAGTCAACTGACCAAAATATTTTTGATTGTAGAACATGTACTGGTTAACAAAGTTTTTGGAGCATGTCCATAAAAAATTAAAAGTCTTAAGCTGATCGACTTGCATGGATACTGTAAATCTGAAAATTTTTCCTGTAGATAAATTTTCAGCAAATTTGTGAGTACATTGCATTTGCAAAAATTTTTTTCTTAAAAATAATTCAGCAATAAGAAAATATAAACAAAGTAGTGGTCATTTGCAAAATTTTGAAATGTAAAAATTAATCAATAGCATTTTGACCCAGTTTCGCAAAATAAAATTGACATAAAAATTTCCAGATTTACGGTAATTGTCTTGGGATGCACACAATTAAGTAGAAAAATATGATGTGAAATTTACCATCCTTATAGACACCATCTGTTGAGGTGATCCAGCGTTGTATTCTTTGATTACCTATGTTTTTAGCTCACCTGAGCCAAAGGCTCAAGTGAGCTTTTCTGATCAAAATTTGTCTGTTGTCTGTCTTGTTGTTGTTGTCGTCATTGGCATTGTCGTAAACTTTTCACATTAAATCTTCTTTTCAAGAACCAGTGGCATAATTTTAACCAAATTTGCTACAAAGTGTCCTTGGGTTAAGGGAATTCAAATTTGTTCAAATGAAGGGCCACACCCTCTTCCAAGGGGAGATAATTATGAATTAATGAAAAATTATTGGTATCTTTTAAAAATCTTCTTCTCCAGAATCATTGGATCAGGAAAGATGACATGTGGAAGCATCCTCGGGTAGTGTGCATCTAGTTTGTCCAAATCATGACCCCTGGGGGTAGGGTGGGGCCACAATGGCAGATCAAAGGTTTACATAGGAATATAATGGAAAAATGTCTAGAAATCTTTTTCTCCAGAACTATTGAGCCAGGAAAGATGAAACTCTTGTGAAAGCATCCTCAGGTAAATAATGTAGATTCAAATTTGTTCCAATTGTGACATATGGGTGTAAGGCGGGGACACAATGGCTGATCAAAATTTTACATAGGAACATATAGGAAAAATCTTCTTCTCCAGAACCATTGGGCCAGGAAAGATGAGACTCATATGGAAGCATCCTCACAGGTAGTGTAGATTCATGTTTGTTCAAATCATGACCCTTGGGGTAAGGTGGGGCCACAATGGCTGATCAAGGTTTTACATAAGAATACGTAGGAAAAATCTTTAAAAATTTTTTTCTCCAGAATCATTGGGCCAGGAAAGATGAAACTCATGTGGAAGCATCCTCAGGTAGTGTAGATTCAAGTTTGTTCAAATCATGACCCCCGGGGGGTCAGTAGGGGCCACAATGGCTGATCAAACTTTTAAAAAAGGAATATATAAGGAAAAAATCTTTTAAAAATCTTCTCCAGAATCATTGGGCCAGGAAAGATGAAACTCATGTGGAAGCACCCTCTGGTAGTGTAGATTCATTCTTTTTTCAAGTCATGACCCCTGGGGGTAGATTGGGGCCACAATGGCTGATCAAAGTTTTACATAGGAAAAAGTAGGAAAAATCTTTCTTATCCAGAACCATTGGGCCAGGAAAGATGAAACTCATATGCATGCATTCTCTGGTAGTGAAAATAGTGAGGGGAGATCAAGTAATACATTGGGAAAATATTTTAAAAAATCTTCTTTTCAAGTATGGAAATTATACATGTATGCTTTAATGATAAAGTGACATTCAAACGTAATCGAAAATTCACCCCTCCTCCTCCCTCCCCCAAAAAGTTTTCAATACTGAGCTGATTTGTGTTTTTGAACTAGCCCATGTGCTCAGGTGAGCGATGTGGCCCCTTGGCCTCTGGTTTTAATTATATTGTTATATATTATATTTCAGGTTGATGTAATTGTTTGTAGTGGACCAAAAGATCTGAAACTGAAAAATAAAGGAATGGCAGAGACCATGCTGATGGCTGCAGGGCCTAAACTTCAGAAAGACTGTGATGATAAATATCCAAATGGAATCAAGCATGGAGATATTGCCATCACCGGTGGCCATGATTTGCATTGTAGATTTGTGTATATTGGGGCTCTCCCTAAATGGGGCACATCTACTAAAGCAAATCAGGTACATTCTTACCAAGATGTTGTCTACAGAGTGTAGAGTATAATTCAACCACTTCATGTAGTGTACTTTTTAGCTCACCTGAGCCGAAGGCTCAAGTGAGCTTTTCTGATCAAAATTTGTCCGTTGTCTGTCGTTGTCGTAGTCGTTGTCGTTGTCGTCGTTGTCGTCGTAAACTTTTCACATTTTCATCTTCTTCTCAAGAACCACTGGGCCAATTTCAACCAAACTTGGCACAATGTATCCTTGGGTGAAGGGGATTCAAATTTGTTCAAATGAAGGGCCACGCCCTTTTCCAAGGGGAGATAATCATGAATTTGTTAAAAATTAATGGCATTTTTAAAAATTCTTCTACTCCAGAACCGCTGGGCCAGGAAAGATGAAACTCATGTGGAAGCATCCTCAGGTAGTGTAGATTCAAGTTTGTTCAAATCATGACCCCCAGGGCAAGGGTGGGGCTAAAATGGCCGACCCAAGTTTTACATAGGAATATATAGGAAAAATCTTTAAAAATCTTCTTCTCCAGAACCACAGGACCAGGAAAGATGAAACTCATGTGGAATCATCCTCAGGTAGTGTAGATTCAAGTTTGTTCAAATCATGACCCCTGGGGCAAAGGTGGGGCCAAAATGGCCGACCCAAGTTTTACATAGGAATATATAGGAAAAATCTTTAAAAATCTTCTTCTCAAGAACCACTAGGACAGGAAAGATGAAACTCATGTGGAATCATCCTCAGGTAGTGTGGATTCAAGTTTGTTCAAATCATGACCCCTGGGGCAAGGGTGGGGCCAAAATGGCCGACCCAAGTTTTACATAGGAATATATAGGAAAAATCTTTAAAAATCTTCTTCTCCAGTACCACTGGGCCAGGAAAGATGAAACTCATGTGGAAGCATCCTCAGGTAGTGTGGATTCAAGTTTTTTCAAATCATGACCTCCGGGGCTAGGGTGGGGCCAAAATGGCCGACCCAAGTTTTACATAGGAATATATAGGAAAAATCTTTAAAAATCTTCTTCTCCAGTACCACTGGGCCAGGAAAGATGAAACTCATGTGGAAGCATCCTCAGGTAGTGTGGATTCAAGTTTGTTCAAATCATGACCCCTGGGGCAAGGGTGGGGCCAAAATGGCCGACCCAAGTTTTACATAGGAATATATAGGAAAAATCTTTAAAAATCTTCTTCTCCAGTACCACTGGGCCAGGAAAGATGAAACTCATGTGGAAGCATCCTCAGGTAGTGTGGATTCAAGTTTGTTCAAATCATGACCTCCGGGGCTAGGGTGGGGCCAAAATGGCCGACCCAAGTTTTACATAGGGATATATAGGGAAACCTTTTAAAAGCTTCTTTTCAAGTACTTCAAAGCTATGATTAGTGATATTTATATGGAATCATCCTCAGGTAGTGTAGATTCTAGTTTGTTCAAATGATGAACGCCTGGAGGGGGGGTGGAGTAAATTCAAGCCTGATGTGCTCAGGTGAGCGCTGTGGCCCCTGGGCCTCTTGTTATCAATTTTGTTTTTAAAATTTCCTTGTTCTCTCCTTTCAAGATCTTGAAAGACTTAGTCATCAACTGTCTAGATGAGGCCAATAAACATCCCATGACAAAGACCCTTGCTTTCCCCACCCTGGGGACTGGGTCTCTGGAGTACCCCCCTGATGAAGTGGCAGAAGTCATGGCAGAGTGCATTAAAGACTTTAACAAAAAATATCCCAAAACTGAACTCACCAGAATCACCATTGTAGCTTACAGTATGGACCAAAAATTGCAAACTGTTCAACAGGTTTCTATTTTTCTTATTTTCTTTTAGAATTTTTTGGATTTTAAAATTTCTCACAATCAATAGATAAAAAAAAATTGCAATTGATATACTGTTGATTAGCAAATTTATGGGACACCTTATTTTGGAAAGTTACATATATGATATTTAATAAGCCAAATAAAATTTTCACATATGCTGGTTCAGTTTTACTAGACATTACTGGTCTGAGTCCAAGAGAGCTTATGCCATAGCGAGGTGTCCATCGTCCATCTAGCTGTGACTGTCCATCTGTCTATGAACAATTATTCAAAAAGCTACACCTCCTACAGTTTTGGTCTGATTTCAATATATTCATAATATATTAATTTCAATTATGAAACATAATTCTGTATATCAGTTTTTGATTTCGGTGATTGATTGCATGCTGTGGTTGCTAAAAATTTTGTAAATTCTTTTAAAGGCTACTTCTACAACAGTTTTAGTCTGATTGCAATTTTCCAAAATAAGAGAGACTAAATAAATGGACATTGTTTCATTTATTGCTGTTGCAGAGTTTCAAGTCCAACTGCTACTTTTCTCTTACTTTGTACAAACACAAACCAGTAGAGCTTATACAGTCTCAACTGAGACATCTGGTTGCTGTATATATTCTATGCTTATAAAAATATATATGTGTCCAAAAATTCTTAAGCAAGTTGTAAGTGAAAAATCTGTCTTAACTCTATGAGAGCCCTAACCATCTCTTAAGAATCTTAAAACTGATTTTATTGTAAAAATGTAACCACAACAACTAAAATACATGTTAAACAGAACTTTAAAAAGTAACCTTCAGTAATATTGAATCATATGTTTTTCACGATCATTTTCAAAATATCAAGTGAAATTGACAACAAATATTTACGATGTATGTTCCACTATAGATTTTCGAACAACATTTAAAAGCACTAATATAATAAAATTTGTCATAAGAGTTTTGTATGTTAAAATCTTAAATTAATACGCAAAATCTTAAATTTTTTTTTTAAAAGACCTCTACACTCTCTTGCATAATTTCACGAAAAATAAAGTTCTCAGGAATAAAAAGTGATTTAATTACACTTATTCTTTTTCAAAATAATTATATGTGACTGTTTACTTAACAATTTTCAGGCATTTCTGTCTTCTCTACAAACTCCAACACCCAGTCTCACTGCAGCTTCAAAAGGACCTGCAGTAACATCAGGAACAGGTAGCGTGTACAGTACCAATAAGACCCAGTCTGACTGAAAGCAGTCCAATGAACTGTTCTCTGCCAGTCTGGGACTGCTTCAAGTCCAACAGCAGATCCAGACAATCTCACAATTTGGTCTAAGCATTCCAAATTGGGGGGGGGGATTTTGATTAGTGGAAGTTACCAAATTTTTGGTGAATTTCTCATTTCCAAGTAACTATGAGCCCTGTGATGACCAAACTTGCAATTGGATGACACATCTAAGGATGCACACTGTCTGGCCTGCTTTGGATGCTGAATCTGACCTGCATTTAACGGATGAGTAAAATGATTATAGTTTTTCGTGCAGGACGTTTCCAATTACCTATGAGCCCTATGTTGAGCAAACTTGCATGGAAGAAACATCAAAGGATGCACACTAAGGCCTAGAAAAAAAAATATGTTTGTTTCCGCTTTCAAGCTGAAAAAATATAGGGTAGGTAGGTAGGCAATTTTTTTTTTTTTTTGAATTTTTTTTTTTTTTGCTTCTTTAATCAAAATGTGTATAGAAGTAACATTAATGACAAAAGAAATGGTGTTTTCAAGCATTACTGTGACTTAACTTATAATAGAAAGGTGACCCAAACTTCTTTCTGTCTTGAAAAGCTTGCAAAGTTGGAGGCTATAATTCCCTGGTTGAAATCTTGCACATCATGGGACAAAAGCATTAAAAAAATATTTAGGGTCGGCACTATAAATTAGGGTCGGTCGGGAAAGCGGAAACAAACATATTTTTTTCTAGGCCTAATGGACTTACTTTGAATGCTGAAAATGACCTACATTTTGTGAATGAGTTTAAAGTTTTTGGAGCAGGTTCATTCTAAAGCAAGTATATGACTAATATGCCCTATGTTGAGCAAACTATATGCATGGATTTAACAATACCTAAGGATGTTGCTTCAGATGCTGGTTTGCATTTTGTTCAGATTTATTTTTTTTACGATGGAATTATGACATTAATGAATTAATTTTAAATTGGAACCATGCAAATTACACTTAAGTACACTCAAGTAGGGATTAGTATTGTTTATGTTTTTCTGAGATCTCAGAATGCTTGTTTCTAAAAGAAACGACTTACGAGTTCCATGAAAACAATTCTTGTTAATCATTTATTTTTTTGCTGTAGTTGTAACACATAAGATTACCTTCAAGTTAGGAAGAATAGATGTCTGGTTGAAGGTTGGAAATTTAACAGAACAACAGGTAAGCTCTCTTTCTAATCATTATAATATAGATTTGCTGACATACCGGTACTAAACTTGAAATAATGAAGTTAATGAGCTTTCATACAAAAGATAGGATTCAAATCAATTTCAGACTAAAGATTGAAGGTACATGTGTATTTCCTTTATACTTTTGCAGTTTTATTTTATATTTTTCAATATTTACCTCTTGCCAAATTATGAATTACATTTAAACTGACTGACACTTTTAGGTCACCTGAATAACTCAGGTGACCTATTGCTATCCGTTTTTGTCCGTCATCGTTCGTCATCCGTCGTGTGTTAACATTTGAACATTTTCAGCTTCTTCTCTGAAACCACTGAACCAATTTCAACCAAATTTGGTATACAGCATCTATGGGTGAAGGGGAACAAAAATTTTGAATTTTATGGTCCCTGCCCCCCTGGTGCCTGAGGGGTGGGGCCAAAACCACCAAAATTAATGCAATCTTTAAAAATCTTCTTCTTTACTCCGGGACATCAAGCAGACAAATTGTTGGCATGAATGTAATGAGCATTGAGTCCTCTACCTAAATTGTGAAATTCATTGCCCCAGGGTCGGGGGTTCTTGTGCTAGGGTGGGGTTATATAGATTATATAGTGAAAATGCATTATTTCTTTGAAAATCTTCTTCTCTGCTCTTGGGTATTAAGTAAACTAACTAAGTACATAGTTATGTTGAGCAAGAGTGCCTCTTCCAAAGTTGTGAATTTTATGGCCCCAGGGTCAGGGGTTCTGGTGTTAGGGTGGGGCTTCATTGATGTTATAGTGAAAATGCATTTATTCATTGAAAATCTTTTTCTCTGCTTCTGGGTATTAAATAAACTAAATAGGCACATAGTTATGATGAGAAAGAGTGCCTCTTCCAAAATTGTGAATTTTATGGTCCCAGGGTCAGGGGTTCTGGTGTTAGGGCGGGGCTCTATTGATCATACAATGAAAATGCATTAATTCTTTGAAAGTCTTCTTCTCTGCTCCTAGGTATTAAATATATTTACGAAGTACATAGTTATGATGAGAAAGAGTGCCACTTCCAAGATTGTGAATTTTATGGCCCCAGGGTCAGGGGTTCTGGTGTTAGGGCGGGGCCCTATTGATCATAAAGTGAAAATGCATTAATTCTTTGAAAATCTTCTTCTCTGCTTCTGGGTATTAAAAAAACTAAATAAGCACATAGTTATGATGAGAAAGAGTGCCTCTTCCAAAATTGTGAATTTTATGGCCCCAGGGTCAGGGGTTCTGGTGTTAGGGTGGGGTTCTATTGATCATACAGTGAAAATGCATTATATCTTTGAAAGTCTTCTTCTCTGCTCCTAGGTATTAGATATATTAACCAAGTACATAGTTATGATGAGAAAGAGTGCTTCTTCCAAAATTTTGAATTCTACAGCCCCAGGGTCAAGGGTTCTGATGTTAGGGCGGGGCTCTATTATATTATTATAATTGGTGAAAATGCATTTATTCCTTGAAAATTTTCTTCTCTGCTTCTAGGTATTAAATAAACTAAATAGGCACATAGTTATGATTAGCAAGAGTGCCGCTTGCAAAATTGTTAATTTTATGGCCCCAGGGTCAGGGGATCTGGTTTTAGGGTGGGGCTCTATTGATTATATAGTGAAAATGCATTAATTCTTTGAAAATCTTTTCCTTTGCTCCTAGGTTTTATGCCAATGATCCAAGTATATTTATGATGAAGAAAGGTGCATCTAGGAAAATGGTTATTTTTTATGCCCCCTGGGTCGGGGGGGGGGGGGGGGTACATAAATAAATTAATGCTTTGAAATCTGCTCTTTATTATTAATCAACCATTTTATGACAAAATTTGCAAAATTTTGAAATATGTGGCCCCAGGGTCAGTAGTTCCTTTGGGGTGAGGTGCACAACTGGTTATAAAGTGGAAGTGCATTTTCTCTTTGTTACTCTGATCTACCTCTGGGTATTAAGTAAATAGAGTAAGCATGGTAAGTTTATAATTATGATAAGCAATGGTGCCTCTTTCAAAATTGTGAATTGTGAATTTCATGACCTCTGGGGTAAAACACGAACCAATTTTAATTGTTTGAAAGTTGTTACATGATACTCAGGTGACCTATAAGGCCTGTGGGCCTCTTGTTTCATAATGATAATGGTCTTTAAAAGTTTGTTTTTGTATTTCAGGTTGATGTTATTGTTTGTAGTGGACCAAAAGATCTGAAGCTAAAAAATAAAGGAATGGCAGAGACCATGCTGATGGCTGCGGGGCCTGGACTTCAGAAAGACTGTGATGATAAATATCCAAATGGAATCCAGTATGGAGATATTGCCATCACTGGTGGCCATAAGTTGCAATGTCAATTTGTGTACCATGGGGCTCTCCCCAAGTGGGGCACGTCTGGTACATCTACACCAAAACAGGTATTTAACTTCCATTTTCAGTGACCTTATTGTGTATGGCAGTACCACGAGAATTCCATTAGCATCAATAGCAATTAAGTTTTAGCTCAACAGAGCTGATTGCTCAAGTGAGCTTTTTTGATCAAAATTTGACAGTTATCTGTCGTCATCTCTGTAAACTTTTCCTATTTTCATCTTCTCAGGAACCAATGGCCAATATCAAGCAAACTTACCTCAAAGTATCCTTGGTTGAAGGGGGTTCAAGTTTATTCAAATGAAGGGCCACACCCTCTTCCAAGGGGAGATAATAGTTAATTTGTTAAAAATTATTGGCATCTTTTAAAAATCTTCTTCTCAAGATCCACTGGGGCAGAATAAATGAAACTCATGTGATATCATCTTCTGGTAGTGTAGATTCAAGTTTGTTCAAATCATGACTGCTAGGGGTAGGATGGGGCCACAATGGATGATTAAAATTTTAAATAGAAATATGTAGGAAAAATCTTTAAAAACTTCTTCTCAAGAACCACTTGGCCAGGAAAGATGAAACTCATGTGGAATCATCCTCAGGTGGTGTAAATTCAAATTTCTTCTAATCATGACCCCCGGCTCCTATAAATTGGGTTAGCCACAACCCTTCCCCTATATTGAGCTGAATTGTGTGTTTACCTAGCCCATGTGCTCAGGTGAGTGATGAGGCCCATGGGCATCTTTTTTTTGACTTCCGTAAGTAGCATGCTGTTTGTGTACTGCTATAAACTTTTTTCTAATTTCTTTTAACATTCTTTTGTCGTCCCCTGTCAAGATCTTGAAAGACTTTGTCACCAACTGTCTAGAGGAGGCCAATAAACATCCCATGACGAAGACTCTTGCTTTCCCCACCCTGGGGACTGGGTCTCTTGAGTACCCTCCCGATGAAGTGGCTGAGGTCATGGCAGAGTGCATTGAAGACTTTAACAAAAAATATCCCAAAACTGAACTCACCAGAATCACCATTGTAGCTTACAACCTGGACAAGAAATGGCAAACTGTTCAACAGGTAAGTTATCCTCTATTAAGAACTTTTTTTATATATAGATTTTTAAAAACTTTGTTGTCAGGTCAGATATTATTTTGATGGGCAATAATGTCTTTCAAACAAACAAAATTGTTTAATATTTATTCACAATTTTTACAGGCATTTCGTTCTTCTCTACAAATAACCACACCCACAAGACCTGTATCTTCAAAAACAGGTAAAGCTTGCAGTCACATTTACATGTACATGATAGACATGTACAAGTCTGTAGAAAGCAATTTTAGTTCCTTTTAGAATTTTTTTATGCAAGAAAGACAATCATTTTTATGGGCAGATTTCTCCTTAAGTAAAGTATACATTGGCCAAATTATTAGCTCTTCTGAGCCAAAGGCCATTTGTGCGGTATGCGCAAACTTTTTAGAATATGGGCCATAACTCAAGAGCCCCTGTCAAATTTGTCACCGGGTATCCTTGGCCTAAGGGATACTATTTGTACTAAAATAAGGGTTGGGGCCTTTAAACAAGGGGAGATAATTAGGAAAACAAAACCAAAGGTACTGGTTGCTAAAAAAACTTCTCCAGAACCACCAGGCAGATTTTCACCAAACTTATATACAAGGATCAGGATATGTCGAAGATTAAAATTTGCATGGGGAATTATCCTTGGGCAAAGGGCGTGGTCTCAAGGTCACTTCAAATTTGACCTAAATTTACAATTAATAAAAATGTTAATATTTTGCTTACTATAAGGACTAGGATCATCAAATCTTGTAACTTGATGCATCTTAGGACTTCAAATCATGTTAACTCAAAAGTAGGTCACTGTGACCTACTTTTTAAATTTTGTGGGCATTTGTTTTCAAATTGATTTGAAGGCATATTTTGGACACTTTAAGGCCTATGATCATCAAACTTTGTCAGCTGATGCATCTTGGTTCCTCAAACACCGTCAACTTAAAAGTAGGTCACTGTGACCTACTTTTTGAACTTTAAGACTAATTCTTTCTAAAACATTGAATCCCATTATTTCAGACACTGAAAGGTTTAGAATCATCAAATCTTGTAAGTTGATGCATCTTGGGACCTTAAAACATATATATGAAAACGTAGGTCACTGTGACCTACTTTTTGAATTTTGCAGGCATTTGTTTTCAAATTGTTTAAAAGGCATATTTTGATTACATTCAGACCTATGATCATCGAACTTGGTCAGTAGATGCATCTTGGGACTTTGAAAAATGTTGACCAAAATGTAGGTCACGATGACCTACTTTCGACATTTTATGGCTATATTCAAGGCCCTTGGGCCTCTTGTTCAGGGATACTCTCATCTCTTGTCCTTACACACCTCCTTTTCATATTGCTTACAAGGAGTTGGACACAGATTTTCTAAAACGTTCGATATGATATCGTACCTTATATATTGTTAGATCAAAACATGTGTTTTGATTTTAATTTTTTTTTTGCATTCCTTTCAAGAAATTTTCTTTCTCATCATACTGGTAAACTAAGGGCTTCAAAATAACCCTTTACTCAGCACTCAAAGCCATTGAACTGTGAGGGTTCTTTATTGTGCCAGCACCTGCCATGTAAGGGGGCCTCAGTTTTTAAGGTCTCGATCATCCGAATGACCCGCAAATTTCACTTCAAAGTACCAAGTGCTTGTGAAGGATTACAGCTGCTACTTATTTTTTATTGACTTGGATCAGTGAAGGTCTGGACTCTGCAAACCCACAACCTTCTGATCATAGAGCAATTGTGATGAGAATCTGTAAGAATTTCATAATAAATGAATGGGTTACTGTGATTAATTAATTATCAATTATAATCAGACATTTAAAAAGTCTATCAATTTAAACAAGTAAATGGTAAGAATGGATAAATGATTACATTCTATGGTGGTCCAGCTGGTCCTCCATTCTTTTTGTGAAACCCAGAGTATGCCAATGCCCAGGAAAATGCTTTGTTATTCGGGTATAAATACAATATGATCGTGTTTATCTGCTCCATTACGTCACACAAATCAGTTAATGGCTATGTGGTGGCCCAGGAAAATTTGATCAGCTTAAAACCTATTATGCTCATAAAATAAATTAATAAACCAATTAATCAGGATTTAAAAGTGCAATAGAGCGCTTGAATTATGCCAGAAATTGACTGATTTTCGATTATAATTGATGATTGGAACACCACTATGGAGCAAGTGCCATTATAAATAATAATTATAATTTGGATGCCATAGACATGTTGATTCAAAGAACAAGTATTTATTGTTATTTTAATTTGTTGCACAGCTTCCAGCTCAAAACCATTGAATTCTAAACAGTATTTCGAAGATCTCTATCATAAAAAACCAATGCCTCCCTCCTACTGGACAAAATACACATCAAGTAAAACCCTTGCTGATTGGAACACCACTGTATCACAAAAAGCACATGAACAAGTGGATTTAAATCCCAGCAACCCTATATACAAAGCTATAAAAAAATTGGCTTTGACAACATGGAAATCACAATATGTAGGACAAGGAGTAGACTCTTTTGGTTTAGCTGGGTTAAATTACACCAATATTAGGATAACTGGAATAAAACGATTGGAAAATCCACATCTTTTTGAGGAATATTGGAAGTACAGAGAGAAACTTTTTTTAAGAGCATCCCAAAAAGGTGTGTTGAAGCCACTTCCGCAAATTTCACAAGCCATCAATGGTGAAGTGTTGACGACAAAGATGGCTGATCCTTCACTGAAGATGGAGATATATCCTGGTATTAATGAGCATTACCTCTTTCATGGGACAGAGAAAAAATATGTTCAAAACATCCTGACCCAGGGACTGGATGGAAGGCTTGCCAATAGTCCTTTCTTTGGGAAAGGTGTGTACTGTGCAGAAAGTTCCACCAAGTCAGATCAGTATGCAGGTACAGTACTAGTAAATTCTCAAACTCAATTTAACATTATCTTATTTGATTTCTAAATTTAAATGTTAATTGTTTCTCCTTTAATCTGATAAGTTTCTTCTTAAACTGTTCTTTGTTAACCTGATTAAGATGTTCAATATTTTTACTCAGAAACTTAATATTATTAGTTACACAGTCAGTTAGTGACCCAATACGGATTCATACAGGGTGTGAAATGGAAATCCGTAAGCCGAGTCCCAATACGGATTTCCATTTCACACCCTGTATGAATCTGTATTAGGTCACTAACTGACTGTGTTACGAATTTATCCCGCTGAAGACCTTTTTCACTATAAAAAAAATATTTGTGCATATTATGAAAATATTAATTTTTAATCCAATAACATGCAACATAAAATATCGTTACGGTAACAAGAAATTTAACTTAATTACCTATGTAAACCGTTTCTTGGCTGCCATTTGTATTTACAAAAGCAACGCTTCGAACGTAATTGCGTGCACGATTTTCATATTACTCCTTGACAGCGATGTAATACGGAAAATTTCAGGGCGTCATGTGATCAGCCTTTATCCAATCAGCAATCTACAAATTTGTCTGAAGCAGGATAAACTGTTTAAATGGAAAATTTAGCAAGACGCAAATTCAGCGATTTTTCCTTAAAAATTGGTATTTTATTTTTAACGAGAAGTAATTTTAGCGATTTTAAAATGCTTACAGAACTATACGAGGGTGATCAAAAAGTTCGCAAACTATCTCTATATCTACAAAACCACAATTCAGATTAGAATGAAATTCGGTACACACATAGCCATACACAAGGTCTATAAATAGCATATGCTGAATAAAGTTTCTCTCCTTGTTTGTGATGTCACAATGTGAAAATGACGTCACTATATAGGTCACTTGTGACGAAAAATGGTTGTCTCAGTCGAATTCATTCAACAAACGACTGTACAATTTATTGTAGGTAATATCTTAGAAATCCCTCTACAGTATCATATAATAATTTGTACACAGTTTAGTGAGATAAATGAGTTCCTATAAATTCAATTAATGATTGGATTAATCGTTTTAGTGAAGGAAGGCTGATGGTTAAAAATGATACTTGTCATCTTGCCCAGTGAAAGCAAGTTTGAAAAGATATGTATTTTTAATTAAGCAATTTGCTATCAAAGACCTCCAATTAGCACTTTGAAAAATAGTTGAATATTTGAACAATGATATAAGTATTAAATACCTAAGATATCGTTAACTTTAGATTTTAAACATATTAGATATGAAAAAAAGGATGCACCCATTCTCTATCCACCTTGAATAATGGTCTCTCCTGAGACAGAAGATTTGTGTTTTAATGGTCGCCATGCTTATTTTTGGAAAGAATGTTATTATCCACCCATTCTGTTGCCGAGATATGACCATTTCTGACAAATTAACTGTTCTTGTCATAAAAATTAACTCACATAGAAAGAAATATAAAACTCAGAAAAATTTTTTAACTTTTGTGACAGAAGTTATGGAGGGGGTCACGTGACCGCCAATATCACGTGATTCGTGCATGCGCAGAACGGTGGTTGATGTGCATTAAAATTGGGGAGGATTAATTTAAAATATAATCAACATTAAAACCATACATTGTTTCTTGTATGGAAGTTATTGAATTAGTTTGCGAACTTTTTGATCACCCCTCGTAGAGGCTTTTACTAATAAAAAGCAGTTAATTTTTTTAAAATTTAAAACTTGCAAAAAATTCTGCTAATGTGGTAATTTATAATCCTTTTGACCCATTGATAGGTATAAAAATTAGTGCATATGTGACTGTGCACTGGTCTGTCTTAGACATTATTCTGCAGTGCACATTCATTTGGGGAATTTAGCTCAAGGGTTTGGGGAATGTTAGGAAACACATAAGTCCAAATTTGTAGGGTAACAATGACAGTTTATTAAAGTAATTATGAATTCCAACAACATAACCACATAAAATGCAAGTCCAAGTCCTAACTAAAATTTTGATAAAGTTGGCCTAAATTAGAATTAAAATATTAAAGGTTTCTTAGTCTAATTCCCTACATGGTTCTTAACACATCAGCTCAATAGCTCTGTCACTCTAGTTCTCTCTTAACTCTCTTCTAAACTATATATTTTAACTATAATTGTAAGGAATTACTCAATGTGAAAATAGCCGTAGGCAGAACTTATCAAATAAGCAATTTAAACAGTAGACTACTCAGGTGTCATCCTTTGATGCCAGGAAGTCAGAGAGGATTTATTTAATTAATCTAACACGTAATCAGTGACCATTGCCATTAGGCAGTTTGAGTGTCAATAATTTACAATTATTAAGAAAGCACTAAATATTTGAGGGGATTAAGAATTAGCCAGATGTTGTGTTGGTTTAGCTTCACTATTTGTGGACATCATGCATCAAATTCATTTACTTTGATAATTCTTAATATCTAAATTTATTTGTCCACAAATAAATTTAGATATTAAGTATTATCAAAGTAAATGAATTTGATGCATGATATGAACAATTATTAAGTCAAACAATAAAATATATGTAAAATAAGTATCAAAAGTGAAATGGGAGCCATTTCACTGGTGATACATATATTAATTATTATAAAAGTAAAAGCCAGTATAATCTGGACCCTGATCCCCTTCTTGGAATTATTTAAGGGGGGGGGCACAATTTATATTGATATACCTCTTTATTTCCATTTTATTTAACATGGGCCATAAAACTTTATAATTTCATGTTTTCTTCATATTTTTCATCATATTCAACTTTTCAGATACATCGTGCATTTTGTCACAATAGTAATCATTGACTTCATTGAATGAAAAACTCATGAAAAAGCCTGATCAGGTTAAAATACGTCAGAAAATTGCTAACTAATCATTGCTATACATGTACCAGAATGTTTTCTGTCTAAGGGTTTCAGTAACTGAAAGTCACTTTGAGAACATGTTTGTTTTGGTATAATTAAGCATTTTATCGCATAATTTTTTGGGAAGCATGAAAATAAAAAAAATATTCAGCCAAGAAAAATTCTTTTTCCCTCAGGCAAAGCCCTTGGTGAATATGATTTTTTCTTGGCTGAAGAAATCTTAATATTTCCCTCACAATCATGCAATAAATGTGTTATTTATACCAATTATAAAAAGGTAGTTGCTGTCCTTTAAAAAAAGGACTACAATACATGGACTATATGCATGTGTTTCTAACCGAAATTGAATTCAAAACAATTTCTAGGTTTAGTAAATATTCATGTAGGTTTGTTTTAACATTTTCTATTATGATCTGCCTACTTTGACTGATAGTACTTTCATAGCAAAATTGTTAAATGTTATCTCCGATAAAGTTTTTTCATTTTTAAAAAATGGGCTACATTAATACATGTAAGCCTTAGTGGCTGGGGCTTGACAAATGAATTTATACGGAAGAAATCTATAATTTGAAAAAATCTTATGTTACACACGTAGCATAGCTCTAGCTGTAGTATGCAGATTTTTTCAGAGCCCCCCCCCCCTTTCATGCATATGGAAATCCGTTGCTTAAGGCCTGTATCAAGCTGTATATGGATTACTGTATATCAAATTATTTTTGCGAGCCTTGATGCACAAAACAAATGCCGATAAAGACAAGTTCTTTCTACTTTTTAATTTTTAAAATGCATCTGCCATAAAAGCAATGCTTAATTTATATATAAAAGTATATTGTATAAGAAAGAAATTCGGATGCGCTAATAAACTAATAAATACGGTATGCAGATTTAAAAGCGATATTTGCCAATGAACATGGTATATTCTACGGGTAAGCTGTCTTGGTGGAAGGGGGGGGGGCAACTCTCCCAATTGCTAATTCTCTGGTCTTTCCGACTGGCTTAAGTTGTTTTTCCGACCTCTGACGGAAAGACCCGAGATGATGCGATTGCGAACTCTCGAGCATTTTCGCCCATGCGTAGTTTGACATATACCCAAAGCATCCGATTTAACCTCGCTTATATATTTACTGTGTGGACCCCAGCGTCCACGCAATAAAAACATTTTTGAATAAGTTGTCTTAGTATGTGTCACAAATTAAATAAGTTTTGCTATATACCATAAAAAATGCTGATTTTTATAGGGAACAAAAATGTCCCTTGATGGAAGCTGTTATGTCACCATCTTGGTCATTCATGTGTTGTTACATTACACTATACATGTATGTGAAATTATTCCTCATTTGTTATGCCCTGCCATGAATATGGCTGGGGCATATAGTGTTTGTCATGTCCGTCTTCCGTCCTTCCGTCTTTCCATCTGGCTGCCCTTACAGAAATTTCTGATAAGTGACTTATAAGTGATTTATTCTTTTACTTACAAGTTGTTTATTCTGGACTTACACTTCACTGATACATTTAACTTATAAGTGACTAATATGTTACTCATTAGGATTTTATATGCAAATGAGCTGCTTGATCTATTAGTGACTTATAAGCCAGTATTAGCCACTTATGCTTTACGCAAATATAGTCACTTATAAGTGACTATAAGTGACTTATAAGTCAAGCATTAACCCTTCATACTTCATCAAGTATTAGTCATCTATAAGTCATCTATAAGTCACTTATAAGTGAAGTATAACACTACCTGTAAGATCTTAATTAGAACAGAACGTCCAACCATGCAGGGGTTGCATGATATGTTCAAAGCTATGTTTTACATATATACACAATAGGATCTGCACTTTGGATGAAATAATCAATTAAAAATTTATTTTAAAAAATCCCTTTCATATGACATTTCTTAGATGATGCAAACTTAACATATTAATTCAGTTTACAAACAAGAATGTTGAACAAATAGGCAACAAGATTTAATGACCTTTAGGCTTCTTCAAATTTATGAAATCTGAAAGCAACTGGGTCAATTGATTCAAAATTTCAGGGAAAGGAAGTTAAAATAGAGATATGATGTAAATAGAACCTACTTGCTGTACCTGATGTGAAGGCATGCT